AGCACGCCTGGGCTCAGCACCGTGCACCCAGCAGTGACTGTCAGCTCCCACATGGCTCCTGCTTGCTGCTATCTCCTCTTCAGGAGCCCAAAAGTGGGATTCAGCAGGCACATATCAGCAGGGGGATGCTGGAGTGGCAGCAGAAGCTGACAGTGTCACTCAGGAGTGGCACTCATCAGTGCCTGATGTCCCTTCCCAAGCCCTACCTCACCCTCTGGCTCTGCTGTCTTGGTTTATTGTGTCTGTCGAGGACACAGATTGAATTTGGAAGTTCTGAAGATGCAGAGAGCCCTCTGGCATCTGAGGAAGGAGATGAAACCTAAGAAATGGAGAAGTTAATATGTTTTCAGTTTGCAAGAGAGCTTGGAAATGCCACTGATGCTTTATTAATCTCTTCTGCCCCTGGAGGACAACAGGCAGCTGCTTCTTCCTCTCTCTCTGCTGAATTTCCTTTACTGGAAGTTAAAATAGACAGGGGCAAGTTAATTTTATTTTGGAGACAGAGCGTTTTTGTCTGTGCCTTTCATAATGCTTTTGGATTATTAAAACTCCTTTAAAACACGACTTTTTAATCTATTTAAGAAGTCCAATTTTCTTTCTATGCTGTTTCACCCCAGCAATTTCTCTCTCGCAGGAAAACCCAAATGACTCAAGTGTAGCCTTTTTTATTGCTATTCTGGGCCTTTCCCCCTCACGTCTTGGCTGCTGATACAGAACAAGGACAGAACCCCAGGCAGGATGAGACCCCCAAACCAAGGAGAAATGACACCAAAGCCAAACGTTCTGACATGATGATCTGTTGTATTTTCAGTCCATTAATGCACATTCATTTACCAGATACAAATGTAGTGGAAAGGAAAGCCATGGTTAGCAGGAACAAGGATACAAAACTCAATTCCAGCAGCCTTCACAGAAGGGATATTCTGTATCACAGCAGCACTGTCAAGGGAGGGACACAGGGAGACCTGTGCTCACACCCCAAGTGGAAGCTCTCCTTTTGTGGATTAGGTTAGCTAGAGAGATAATTTCAAAAAAAAAAAAAAATACACAACCAGAACACAACAAAACATTCCCCAAATGGTGACTTTTTGATTCTTTCTCATTTCCCTAGAGTCAGGACTAGAGAAAGTTGGAATTATTTACATAGAGGAGATTTTACGAAGACACTGGAAGGTTAAAAATAGAATAACCACAAATACTGGAAAATATAACAAGAAAGCAGGCAGGGAAAGGAAAATAGGAAAAAAAAAAAGTGACACCCCAAGAGGATCATTGCATTCAGTGGTCAATGTGTGGTTACTGGGGCAGCTCCACTTGGATACACTGAGATTCACAGGCTGGCCCTGATTCACTGCCATGAAGTTCCACTCTGGGATTAAAGCAGGATCCTGCAGAGCTCCTGCTTTCAGCAGGACCTCAGCACTGCAGCAGCCATTGCTTGGCTGAAACCATTTGCAGCATGAGTGCCACGAGCTCTGACAGTGTGTTCCTGTCTCGTGGGGCACCCAAGGGATGCCAGCCTCTGCTCATGTCCTGCTCTGCTTTTCTTCCCCTTGGCCACCACACCAAGAAAGGCTCTGCTGCTGCTGAGAGGGGTCAGCCCAGCCCAGCATGGATCTGGGGCTCCACATGCAGCAGGAGAGGGAAATGGCATTATCCTACAGTTCTCTCATGCTGGTATGGGAGTGTCCCCACAAACGCAGCTCTGTGACCAGATACAACCCCCAGAGTGTCCCTGCTACAAGAGTTCAAGGCTCCTTACACTGAAATAACAACAGCACATCTGCACTTGATTGTACAGGGATGCTCCCTCTGGAAGGAAAAAATTCATTGGAAATTATTCATGGAAGAGCCCCAGCCAGGCAACACCTGCACTGAGGTTCTCCCAGGGACAGCACCAGCATTGCAAAATCATGTTGTGAAACTTGATCAAAAGAAAGGAAAATGGAGTGTTTGGGGTTTAATGCAGCACAGCTCACCAAGTCAGGGGACAAACTGAGACCAAGAGATCAGATACTGATCTGAGCACTTTGCCTCTTCATGGAGCACTGGAGTGGTTCTCTTATAAACTGTTTTTAGTACAGTTCTTGCAGACAATGACATTTTATCCCTCATTTTTTAGATCATGCATTAACTTTACAGTGAAACATTTATCCAGTCCAATATCTATACAAAAAAACACGTATTTTAAAATATTAGACTATTAAAATTTAAGGAAAGGAGCATGAGTTCTCAAAATGATACCTGTTAAAGAATAATTTAAAGGGAAAAGAAGTGTTCTACTCGGGTTGAATTACAAAATAAAGTCTGAGCCTGGGAGAATTGCTCTTTTCCTATAGTTGTAACAAATAAATGCCACAAGAAACAGTTGATGTTTCTGGGGTTGCTAGTGCTTGAATCCACATCCCCTGTTCCAGCCCTGGGTACCGTGGGTGACCTTCTCCAGTTTGAGGCCCACGCTGGTATGACAGACAAAGGAGCTGTGATTGTTCAGGTGCACAAACCAACTCTCTCCAGGTGTTCAACTTCACAGGCTTCTTAATATAAGAAACAAACCTGCAGCAGACAGGAAGGGGGCAGCCCCAAACAGCACAGCCTGGGGTGTGAATGAGCAGGGCCTTCACTGGAGTGGTCCTGTCCTGCTGTCTGTCTGTCTGTCTGTCTGGGGTGAGCAGTGCTGCTTCCACAGGGAACCTGATGGCCCCACAAGCCCCTGGGGATGCTGGGATCTCCTCAGTGTGCTGAGGCTGCACACCCTGCTTGCATTTGAATGTTTCTAAACTCCTGGTATCAGGAATTTAGCACCAACACAGGGCAGGGATGGTCAGCACAATGCCTCTGTTTCCACAGAGGGGAACCTCCTCCCAGACAGAGAGCCAACATCAGGCCTGTCTGCTACCTCAGTAATGAAAGACCTCCTTAATTAGCACCTTCTCATACCAAATCAGTTGATTACCTCTCCCTCCATGGCTCTGCTGTGTCACTGGGGACCAGCAGCTATCACCCAGGGGCTGACCATTGCAGAACCTGAGTGGTTGTTCCCCAAAGCAGCCTGGCAGAGGGAGAGTTAACACCTCTGGAGTTAAAAGCCCCAACAATTAGCAACCTACCATTTAAAAAGACAATGTAAGGATAATTTAACAATTATAAAAACCTCTGCTAATATGAGGATGAGGAGAATAAGAGCACTTAGAAGGTGACAGGAGTGTTGCACTTCAAGGTTCAGTGCACAGGTGGTGGGGTTGAACACTTTCTGACTCTGAACATGGATCTGTGTGACTGACAAGGATTCTCTGGCAGGCTGTAATTGTTTAAAGTCAGCAGCTTCAGTCAAACTAACACAGCTAAAAACATCAGGAGAGCAAAGCTCTGAACCTGCACTGATGTGAAATCACAGGACACCTTTGATCTTTCTGATTGGAAATGGTCAGGGCACACATTGCTTTGGCTCTGTGGGGGGTGACCCCGGGTCAGGTTTTTTAAGGGAAAAATGTCAAGGGAAGATATTTCTGTGCTTACAGCATGCCAGGTAAAACCATCAACCCCCTGGACTCAATCACATAAAATGCTGCACATGCACTTCCCAAAGGTGAACCAGACCACAGATGCCAGAAAGGAGCATAGAAGGCAACTGCATCTACAAAACACAAGTGCAAAACAGTGGAAGCTGTAGGAATGGGCTGAGATTTGGAAAAACATCTGGGGTTTGTTCCCTATTTGGGTGATGCAGCAGGGACTGAATAAGCTGGTGCCTATTTACAGGTCTGAACACACAAGGCAATCAGCTCAAATGTCATGCCAGCTACCTTTTGGGGATAGGTAGGTGACCAGTGGGATTATTTTCCAGTTAAAAACTGCTGGAAGACGTAGAAAAGAAAAAATAGAAATTCTTCTGTGAAACAAAATAAATACCAGTTCACTGGGCCTTTTGACCAAGGAGTGTTGGGCACAGTATGACCCTGGGAAGGGAAAGGATGCCCAGATGCAGGGGCAGCAGGAGAGCTCAGCCTCCCATTCCTCCAGATCCAACTCTCCTGAAGTGTTCCCTAATGCTCCATTATCCCAGTGGCTGGCACAGCACTGCAGGCTGCCAGGAACACCTCAGGCTGGAGCTGGACATGGAATTGGGAGACATGGCCTCACTGCAGGATGGAGCATGGGCTGAGACCCAGGCTGGTGCCCACCACACCAGGTCCTAACCCAGGAACTGTAGTGTTCTTCCCAGGATGCTGGATTGAACTGCTCTGTACAGGGAGGTGCAGAAGAGCTTTGGAAACCTTCTTATAGCAATGTAAAACAGGAATGTGCATGCTGAGTTTTATCTCTGCTTGGGAGGACAGATCCTGCATGACTGCACTCCAGGTTGTGGCTGATCAGTAACAAAGCAGAGCAGAGACAAGCCTTTGTCACCTGCTCCCCTTCCCCCTTGCATTCACCCCATCTACAAATCCACACACCAGCTTGCTCTGAACATGGTGTCAGCTTACTGGCCTTTCCCTTCTTTTAAGTAGAGGAAAGGGATGGAAATGAAAATCTCCCCATATGCTGCAAGATGAACACACAAGCAGAGTGCAGAGCTTGGTTCAGATCATGCTGCCTTTTGAGTCTCAGTCCTGTTACATGCAGTGCCTTGGCTTCCCCCAGCTCTGGACACCTCAGGCTTGAGGAAAACAGTCACACTCAGTGGGACCAAGCTGATGTGCTGTGTCTGCAAAGGCCAGCAAGCTCCAGAGATCTTCAGCACCTCCAGCTCCAGAGACTGCCTTCTGCCAAGCCTGAGGGCTGCTGATTGCTCCAGCTGCAATAGGAAAAAGATTTTTTCCCCCAAAGGGGTGAAGAGACCGAAATGCTGATTCTGATACAGGATTGTTAGTCTGTTTCCCTTTAAGAAGTGAAACACACTCAGAAAGCTGCAGGACAGCCCAAGGCAGCAGCAAATGGCACTTCCCAGCAGTGGCAGGGCTGCACAGTGTGCTCTGATGGCATGTGGAAGGGTGAGATGGGAAACTCCAGCAAACCAAGGTGCAGATACCCAAAGCCTGAGAAGCAGCACAGGCGGCCCAGGACTCCTGTGCAGCCACAGCACGATCACAACCACAGGATACAGCTGGCAGTGGTGACAACATCGACTGGGAGTCAGTTCCTGTCCTAGGAAGCAGCCTGCATCCTTTAGATGCTCAGAACATGCCTGAAGAAGTAACTCCTCCAGAAGTTAAACTTCTATCTGCCACCATTTCCAAGTTTTTCTGCTCCTCTTGTCTGCTAGTGTTGATTTGCTTCAAGTTCCTCCACCAAAATCCTTCTGAAGGGCTCATTACCTTGGTGGAGAAGCTTTTAGTCTTCTTTCACATTCCAAAATCTCGTGTTTTTCATTATCTTCTCTCCTGAGAACAAGACTTTAAAAGGTAAAGCAGTCTGCATCTTCTTAAGTCCAGACCTCCATGGGTACCATGGACTCCTTTGTTCCAACTGAGGGAAGCAAGTACTCTTCCTCCAGAAAACGAAAGGGGAATTGGACTAAAAACCCACGAATCTTTTTCAATTCTTCTGCTGCTTTCACAGGATCATCAGTTGCTAATTTGGGCTTGTTGATGAAATCACGCAGTTGGGTTAAATTATTCACCTGGTCACTGGGAAGGCATCGAAACACCTGATCAGAACAGAAAGAAGAAGTCACCTGTCAGTGTAGGGGAAATGCAGCAATGCAGAGCTCCTGAGAAAGAACCAAGCATCCAGTGCAAATTCCCCAGGATGGAAGTGACTGAATCAACAGCCCAGAGAGCAGGGAGGGAAGAGGTAAGGGCCTGCCCTGGATGAGGCTGCAGCAGGCAGAGGGGAAGCTCCAGGGCCTTTTCTGATCACTGCAAAAGCTCATTAAAAGACAGAAGTAAAATTTGCTTCTACTCCAGTTACACTGTGGCTAATTACAAGTAGTAACTACACCATGGCCATTCACTGGGGCTACAGCTGATGCAAACACAAGAAATCTGATCTGCTGCCTTCATGGGTGCTGTCACACTGAGAATGCACCAGCTCCAGTTTCCTGTTCACAGCTCTTGCATCTGACACTACTCACTCCTTCAAAACATCTCTGAAAGTCCAGCCCCAGGAACTGGATCTGCTCTCTTTGCCCTCCCTGTGCTGCAGCTCCCATCTGCTGCCTCTGTGTGGGATGGAGGGAGGGGGAAGCTGCCGTGCTCCTCACTTTATCAAAGATGGTGGCATTCCGAGCTGCCGTGGCAATCCACACCTCCTTGAAGAATTTGTCACAGACGGGATCCTGGTGTTCTGGATTGAGGTCGGAGCCACCAAGGACAACCCTGAGAAGACAAAGGGATGGATGCTCACACAGGCTGAAACACTGGGCACTCCCCTCTTGATAAATGCCAGGAGACAAGGAGTTTCCTTGGGACTTGCCAAACCCTGTGTGCTCCCAGCACCCTCCCACTCCCATGCCCTATGATAATCTCTCAGCTCTAAAGCTGCTTGATTTTCTCCTTTTCTTCTGTGCAGTAACTGTCCAGATGGGAAACAGGGTGGGAGAAAAAAAAAAAAAAAAAGAAAAAGGCCTTAAACTAAAAATGGCTGTATTGTGGGGCCAGATGGCTGCTCCCAGCAAAGAAGCTTCCTTTAAAAAGTGACACTGCCACCCAAGATTGAGAGAGTGTGCAAATGGGATCTGGAGGGGAAATACCACTTGTTTATAAGTGCTTCTAGTGAAATCCCAGAGCAAAAATAATTTTTAAAATCAAGCCAGCAAGCTGTGGACAGAAGCAGTGTGAGGAAACAGCAGCAAAACCCCGGGCTAAGTCCAGGCCGAGCAGAGCTTGGGCAGGCAGTGTTACCCACTGGTTTGAAAGGCTGTGGGGGCAGGTGAAGCCCGAGCAAGGCCTCCCCTGTCCCCTCTCCCTGCTCAGCACGTGTGTGTCCCTGCAGCCCCACCTGAAGCAGCGCAGGCGCAGGGACTGGGCGAAGCGGCCGGCGCGGTACTCGTGGCCGTCCATGACCGAGGGCACGGTGTCGCTGTCCTGCACGATGATGGCCATCTCGCTGTCCCTCTTCCCCAGCATGCTGCGGTCGTTGATGTTGGCAGAGCCTGGGCAGGGCAGGCACAGGCAATGTCTCACTGCTGCTCCAGGTGCTCCTGCACAGCCTCCATCACCACCCGCCACCACCCCGGGGACCCCCGCACCCTCGGCCCCGCAGGGAACACCCTCGGCTCCGACAGCTAAATCCCCAACCTGATGCATGAAGGTTTTAGCTGTTATGTTTTTCAGATCCTGTAACTTTCAACTCCACATAGAGGTTAGTAAGTTCCCTTCACATTTTGGTCAGATCCTTCTAAGCCTGAGAACCAAGGACACCATCTGCCTCAGGTCCCAAAAAGTACAAACAAAAGTGAATCGGGGTGGGGAGCAAATTGGTGTATATGAGTTCATTACCTGAATCTATAATTAGATACTATGGACCAAACTTGTATCTGTCTGAGAAACTCATGACCTTTGTCTATTTTGGGTGTAGCCCCTTGGGGAGGCTTTGTCTGCCCTTACTGTACTTGAAGGCCCTTCAATAAATATATCCACTTGTATCTTTTTAACTTTGTCTGGCCTCTGTTTCTAGATAAGCCCAGGCATCAGCCAGGGGTCTTCCTTATGGAAACACAGACCCTGAGAGGAGCTGGGGAAGAGAAAAAAAACCCACCTAATTTTTGTAGGCTTCAATGGAAGAAAATTAAATCACAGCCAAGCCCAGGCCAACATTTTCAAAATTTGTTCTTTCTGCAACTTCCCAGATGCTTCTGCTGAAGGAGCCACAGCTTTCAAAGGTCTGAACTGCATTTGGTTTGCATAGCCAGCTACCTGAGGCAGGATAAGCTCTCTGGGTAAATCACAGAATGCTTTGGCTTTGGAAAAGACTTTCAAGCTCCTCTCCTTTTAACCTCCCTGCCATGGTCAGGGAAACTTTCCACTAGACCAGGTTGCTGTGCCATTCAGGGGGATCTGCTCAAGACCAGCTGAGGCTTTGTTCCCCCAAACAGGTTTCTCTGTCCTACAGAGATATCACAAAGCAGGGCATGGGGGAACACTGTTTGCTTGCAGCTGTTGGCTCCAAGGGAACAGCAAGATTCAGGGAAGGATAGGCATAATGAGGTCATTAACCCACAGAAACAACCAAAACAATGATAAAAAAAAATCTCCAGACAGCTGTAAGAGACCCCCAGGCTGCAGTTAGCCATTGAGCCTTCCCAGGAACTGGATTGACTCCAGGGCAGCCAACACCTCCAGAGGAAAATCCAGCTAAGTGCCTCTCTGTCCTTTCACCCTCTCCTCCAGCCCAGAAGCTCCATGAGCACTGAATTTCCATGCACTCTCTCTCATGTGGAAAAGGGATGACTTCCCATCCTCTCACCAGGCAACAGAGATGCACAGGCTGTATAAAAATCTACCCTCAAGCTTATAGGTACAGAAAATAAAAACTAAGATCTGCCTCAGGCCCCCCAGACCATCCCAGGTGGAACAACAAAGCTCCTGCTGTGATATCAAACCACCTCAGAGCCACTCTGTGCACTGGAGACAGGATCTGAGAAGGTGACAGAGGAGCAAACCTCACCACAGGGCATCTGAGACCACTGCTTTGAAGGGAGGGAGTATTTTGAGTCTTGTAAAATCTGGTATTAAGGTATTCATTGGCAAAGCTTTTATTGCTGATGTAACAGCTCAAAAAGGGCTTCTTTAAAGAAACAGGCTGAAATTCTGCTGCAGTGCAGAGCTCTGAGCCTGAACTCTCTTGTCTTTGCTTCATGTTCTCATAATAAATACGGTAAGAGAAGAGGATGAAATGATATCTATGACTCCCTATAGCATATTGTCCCATTCTTAGGGAATAGAGCTGATACATGACACATGTTGTCCAAACCTTCCAAATCTTACAGTGCATTCTGTTCTTTCAGGAACAGATGACAAGTCTCACAAGTCTTCCTGCTAGAGCAGAGTTTGATACAAGACAGATGGACAATATTCCCTGCACTGGGATTCTCTTCACGGTTACACACAGATTTAAAAGATTTTAGAAAAACAAATGAAATGACAGCCCTCTGAATCCTTTCTTCCCTCTTGATGAATTTATGAGTTTGGATTTTGGGGTTGTTTTTTTTTTTTTTTAAACAGCAAAATATTTCTTAGGAAAGAAATGACAACATAGCAAAGTCCATGGCCCTACAGCCTGCACTGTGCATGGGGATGGGAAGGGATTGATCCAGGTACAACCCAGTGCCCCCAGCCTCTCCTGAGAGCCCCTGCTCACCAATTATAACTGTGTTGTCATCAGCAATGAGCAGTTTGCTGTGCACATAGATGAGCTCTGTGACCAGTTTTCCTTCCAGCTCTGCATATGTTCGAAGGCCACAGAAGGATATGTAGTTTATCCACTTATCTCCAACTGAAAATTAAAAGACAAGAAAACTGATGGGATGAGGGAGGTGGAAGAGAAAAAAGAAAAGACCTTGTTTACATGAAGACCCCTATGAATAATAGTTCACTTTTGACTTTTAAAACTTATAAATTAACAGATAACAGAAAGAGGTTTTTTTTTTTTTTAAATAGACTTGAAAATTTGCTTGTGAACTCATTGTGCTGCTCTGATCTGCTGCCTGCTCAGAGACTCCCACTTCAGTGAGAAATTACTCCAGTCTCCTGGGCACAGCACAATAGGTGGACTATGAGACTGTTTTTCTGCAGATGCTGCAGAAAGGAGGCTGGAAGCAGGTGTTTTTTTCCATGGTCAGTAAGGCAAATGTGTCCTAATGCACTTGTGTGCAGTTCAGATTTACACCAGGACCTAGAACAAATGGAGCATTATGCACGGTCCCAGTGTTTGTGATATGTGGGTTTTCACAGTGCTCCAACTCCCAGCAGAGCAAATTCCGACAGGATTCCTCATGGCAAGGAAACAGCCTCCTGCTTAGGCAGGTTCTTCCTCTCCACATCTGACAACTGCCAGGAATAAACCCTGTGTGGGATCCACGGGGAAGGCTGAGCGCTCACGGCTCCCAGAAGCGTGACCCCGCTCAGGACATTTTCCAAATAACACAATCCTGAGCAGCTGCAACTGTGCTGTGCTCCTCCCTGGGGTGCTCCCCTCCTCTGGATCAGGGCTGCAGCCAGGTCTGAATTCTGACAAGTGGCCATGGCCTGTGTGACCCAGCAGAGCTCTCCATGGGAGGAGGTAAGGGGCAAGGAGGAGGTCGCTCTCAGCCCGCAGCACGTGCTGCATTACGTGTTACAGATGCATCCATCAAACAGCAGCATCCAAAGTAAACAACACAGAGGAGAGGAATAAGGTTCTTACCCTCTGCCTTCAGCTGGCCCAGGATGGAGTTTTCCCCTCGGCACATGGTCCTGGAAAGAAGGTAGGCAGCCATCAGCACCCCCGTGGCTCCAGACAGCAGCTTGTGCTGGAGCCGAACTGGGTGGGGTAAATCACAAACACAGTTGCCTCTCAAACAGCAGGAGAAACAGGGTGCTTCTTTTCCCAAATGACTGTTACTACTTCAAGGACTGCTCATGTTCCAAAAGGAGCTTATTCCAAACTACAGAGGAGCTGGGGAGCACTTCTTCCTTCTAGAACACGTGGCAATGATTGTAAATGTGTGACAAGCAGGGCTGCTACCCCCCGTGCCAGGCCTGGGTGTGAAATCACGTTAAGAAAACATGCAGAACACCAGGTCAGGGAGTTTGTGTAATTGTGGCTGGGCTGGAAAAGCCACAGCTGGAATTCCACTGAGAACCAACCAACCCACGGGCAATCTCCTCTGGTTGCCCTTGCAGGAGGAAGCTCAGGCAGAAGGGTGAAGGGGACATTCTACTTTCCATCTGCTTGTGTCCCCTGCCCCTCATCCTCCTGGAGGTGCAGCAGGACCCCTGCAGGCCAGCAGACAAGGGGGATTTCACTCTGAGGGCTGCAGCAGTCTCTGCACACTGACTGTGCCCTGGCCATACTCTAACAGAGCAGCTTTCCAGTAAAACCATCTTGGGCCATTTTGCCTTCTACATTTCTCACCCTGCTGCATCTCAGTCCTTCCTATGAGACCTGCTGGGCTGCAAGTGCCCCCCCAAAACATCCATCCTGGAGCAGGGGAATCACACTGGGGAAGATGCCATTGCCTGGATGGGGCCAACAGGCAGAGCCAGGCCAAGTATTGGTTGAAAAGGCAGATTTGGAGACAAATCTTGGTCAGCAAGTCTGATTCATCAGCAAAGTGGAAAATGTGATGGTGTTCGCAGGGATCTTAGGATGAGGGAAGAGATGAGGATTTGACTCTATGTTTCAGAAGGCTGATTTATTATTTAATTATATATATTATATTAAACTATACTAAAAGAATAGAAGAAAGAATTTAATCAGAAGGTTAGCTAGAATAGAAGAATAGAAAAGGAAAGAATGATAACAGAAGCTTGTGTCTCGGACAGAGAGTCTGAGCCAGCTGACTGTGATTGGCCATTAATTAGAAACAACTGCATGAGACCAATCACAGATGCACCTGCTGCATCCCACAGCAGCAGATAACCATTGGTTACATTTTGTTCCTGAGGCCTCTCAGCTTCTCAGGAGGAAAAATCCTAAGGAAAGGATTTTTCAGAAAATACCATAGCTACAGAAAACAAATCATAGAGTGGCTTGGGTTGCTTGAGCCTTAGAGCTCATCTAGCTCCATGCCCCAGCCATGGGCAGGGACACCTTCCCCAAGAGCGGGTTGCCCAAAGCTCTGTCCGTGCTGGTCCCACTGATGGCAGGTGGGGCTTGGGGACCCCCTGCAGCAGTGGAGGTGTGCAGGGGGCTCTGACAGCCTGGTGAGGTACCTGTAGTTGAAGTGCATGATGGCCTGCAGGGCATTCCCCCCTCCTGTCGAGATGTCCCCTTCGAAGCCGGGCAGCAGCGGGATCACCACGTACACTCGGAACCGCCTGTTCTCCCTGGGGAGCAGAGAGTGTGGGGAATGTCAGCCTGGGCAAGGCACAGCTTCACACCAGCTCAACTACCCTTGGCTTCACTTCCCCTGAGATGACTGAGTTGGTTCCCATCCAAGGCTCCCTCTACTTTGAGGGAGCAAAGTGTGAAGTGCAGTTCCAGTTTCAGGGAATCATCACCTGCCATCAGTGCTGCTCTGAGAGCTCCTTCAGGAGCACAGGGAATAATTTACTCTCAGCTAACAACAAAAGAAGCAAAAGGAAAAGAAACACATTTTTACTGAAATTCAGGGGCAGGCTAAGGATTTTTCAGGTTGTGTCTGCCACTATAGAAGTTTGTTTGAGCACCCCAATATGCCAGTCACACTGATTCTGGTGCAGACTGGTGGGGACAGCTGCCTGGCAGAGCACAGCAAAGCTTACAGAAACCCAAAACCTAACCCAACATTCCCATTGCCTCCTGGTTTCAGAAGTCAGAAACCCAAGATAGAGAGAGTGTGCAGATGGGACAAAAGTTTCCACAAAAGGTGGAAAAAGTTCAGGGCACAAGCAGAACATTGATCACTGGGGGAAGGCAAATATATTCTTGATACATCACAGCACCCAAAAATCTCACTTCCAGAGTTCTCCAAACTAATCCATACCCTAATCCTGACCCCATTCAGAACAAAAGCTACAATTATGGGACTGCTTGGGGCTTTTCTCAAAGCTCCCTTTGGGTTTCCTCTGCTGACAAATGCCAGGTGCACCTGCTCTGAGAGCACTTTCCAGGTGCCCCTGGGCACTGGGCATTCCCTGCTCTGTGCCCTGCAGGAGAAGGAAGAGGATGATGTTCCATGGAAGGATGCTGCCACTAGATGGCAAACACAGTTTAATCAGCACAAAACCATTTCAGCAGCACTTTGAGGAAGAGCCAGTCTGCAGTTTTTGCTAGCAGCACTCCTTCCTCGGGCAAGCCATGCCTGTGAATTTAGGGGTGTGGGAATTGTGAGGCACTGGGGTCCCATCTGAGCTGGGAGGGAGACAATGAGGACCTGTGTGCCTCATTTCAACCAGAGCTTCCTTCCAGCTGTGCTGGGCACTGCAGAGTGGCTCTGGCTCACCAGCAGAGCTCAGAAATAGTTAATGAGGCCTTACCCAAACACAAGAGACTGTGAAACCAAGTCTGTTTGTATCATGAGAAAGGTCTACCAACAAAAGCATTCCCCAAAAAGCAGCTTGTTTGTATAAGGACAGTGTTTACTAAACTGCTTAGAGAGCCACCCATGAAAGAAAGAGGAAACCAAGAAAAGAACATTATTAATAACATCAGTAGAAAATATTTAGTCTAGAAGAGTGAGAAGTATACAAGCTCACTACAGACCTTAATTTATAATTAAATGCTATTCTCCTGGGGCAGTTTGGAAAATTAGCATTATGATACAAACCATTTAGGTCTGAATTTACTTTTAATCTTAGGTAATGCAGAATTTGAACCTTATATTCAGTTAGGAATTGCCAACATTAAGCCAGCACAGTACTGGCACACAACTGGAGTAATGCAGAAGTGAGCATCATATCTGGAAATGGGTCACTAAGAACCTGTGTGACTCCCTTTTGTGATAGACTTTTAGTATCTGGACAGAATGACAGATTACATAAACTTTATAAAATGGGAAAACCTTAGCAGATTCCCTGGAGACTGGCTGCTGCCTCAGTAGCATTGCTAACAGCAGGCCACTGATGCAAAGGACCTGTGGTGGTCAGTTCCCAAAGGCAGGAAAGGCAGCCCAGAGAGGCTCTCCAGGGAGACATCAATCAGCACAGAGATCACAGGATCCCAGAATGGCTTGGGTGGAAGGGACCTTACAGCTCCTCCAGCTCCAAAGTCATGGCAGGGACACCTTCCATTGTCCCAGGCTGCTCCAAGCCCTGTCCAACCTGGCCTTGGGTACTTCCAGGGATGGGGCAGCCACAGCTTCTCTGGGCAATCTCTGCCAGGCCCTCACCACCCTCACAGGGAAGAATTTTTTCCCAATACTCAATCTAATCTTCTTGGCCTTCAAAGCCATTTCCCTGGTCCTGTCACCCATGCCCTTTTCCAAAGTCCCTCTCCAGCTCTCCTCTAGCCCCTTTAGGCACTGGAAGGTGCCCTAAGATGCTCTGTACAGCTGCCTCTGAGCCTCAAAGCTGCACATTTTTTCAGAAAATCCATCCCACCTTTTCATCCTTAGCTAATTTCAGTTTTTTTGGGCTACTCACTGCAGCTCACACAGATCACAGGCAACTCCACCCCATTGTTAATACCACAGCAGATAACACCCAGGCTCTCCCTGTTGCAATAGCGCTCTTCTTTCCACAGTGCTCTGAACATAGCCTGGCCCAGGGCAGCTCCTGGGGCCCTGCAGACATGTCCTGCACTCTGGTGGCTGTCTCAGGTTGGATGCCTTTATCCAAGTGGGAACTTCCAAGCTCAAGTGCAAAAAAGAAAAAAATTCCTGCAACCTTGGAGAGAGAACTTGTGGAAAAGCAGGCCCTGCAGAGTTCTGGACAACTACAATGTGGAAAAAACAATCCATGCAAGAAAACATCACCACATGTGGCAAAAAAGCCCATGAGAGATGAAAGGGAAAAGTTTAGAAAGTTTCCTGTATTTCAGCCCAGCAGGAGCAGGGTACAGTTTTATACTATGAAATGTATGTCTCAAAGAGACTCCAGGGGAGCAACCCTAAGCAAGACTGCCCAGGATCAAAGTGAAGACAAGGCACTACCTGTGGCATTAATGTTAGCACAGGGTTAGGTGTGCTGAAGGAGTGTCTAAAGCATGGTTGGATTCAATCCATCCAGGAACAAACAATGGTCCCCTTGCAAAGACTGGAGGTGGTGAACACCCTCCAGCATGTACCAGAAAAAGTTGTTCAAACAATAGCAGAACCCTGCAGTCAAATCCTCAAAATGTGTTTGCTTCCCCAGTTTGAAGCAGCTCCTCTTTAGATGATTTAAATAAACCACAAATCCCAGTTCACACTTCCCACCCATGAAACTGCCTGACCACCCAGCTCAAGGCAAACTGGCAATGGAGCAAAGGTGTCACTGAACCAGAACACAAAGGACTTGTCTTTAAACAAGTTCTGTAGTTAAAAATACATTTACATTGGGGCAAGTCCAGAAAATCACTTTCTGTATGCAAAGAAACCACTCAGGAGTCTCACTGATGCAAATGCAGATGCTCAACCCATCAGATCTGTGTTGGCACAGCTACTGTCCAGCTGTGGCCACTGAGGGGTTATTTTTTTGCACCACACCATGGAAATGCACTGAAGAGTTCCACTGCCTCATTGAGAACAGGTTACCTGTGAGCTTTAAGAATCCTCTGAGCAATCGCATCACCGATCTTGTTCCAGACAACTTTGTCATCAGCACAGCTAATAAAAAACTGGTTCTGCAGGAAAAGCAAGAGAAGCTACTGTCAGACACTGCCAGCAACCAACCCAAAGTATTTGCATGCTTTATTTCAGACCAAGAGCAACTAAAGATAGCTGAGTTTGTGTGCCGTTGGATTGTAGGCTTTTTAAAATTATGATTAAATGATATGTGTGTCTGTGCTTGCTTAGGGAATGAATTAGTCCTTATTAATCACACTCCTTAGAAAGTTCATGTAAAGAGCAACCTAACAAGAGCCTAAGGAAAAAAAAAAAGAGGAGAAAAAGCATCTCCATTCAGCCAGCACTGAGTGTCACTCTGACACAAGAGATTGCTGCAGATGGAGGCTGTGTGGATGAAGAACTGCCCTGTGAGTGGGAGGTTTGGGCATGCACAAGGGACACTGCAAAGCCACAGAGGGGACAGGGAGACTATTGCACAGGCCATGAAAGCTGCTGGCAATTTTCCAAAGAGCCTTATAAAGGAGAGGTCTCCTTTTTCCCACCTCGTGGTCAGATGGCTGTCAGGATACACAGCCATCAGTCTGTCCTGAAGACCACTGAAGGTTATGGATCTGTCTAAATGCATAAAAACTGAGGACCAAACCTCAAGAAGTAATCACCCTCCTGATGGGTGCAAGCCATGCCCAGAGCATCAGGACCCTCCTGCCTGCCCTCTTGGCACTGACCTCTATGTAGATGTAGTGCTTGCTGTTCTCTATCACGCTGATGTAGGCCTTGTGGATGGACTCCTCGTGGTATTTAATGCCAGCAGACCAGTCAGCAGCAGAGCGGATCACCTGGAAAGCAGGAGAGAGACACCTTCAGCTCTGTCCCTCCAGGACAGCACCATGGCACCTGGATTATCCCAGGGCCAAGGCTCTTCCCTGGCACAGCCAGGCTGTCCACTCAATGAGGTGGTAAGTGCAACATTTATAGTGCATTTGTAATTGTGAGAGAGAGCAGGCAGAAACATCATTAATGCTTAGCAATGTTTTGATTAAAAACATAAGAGCCCTGTTCCATTGCTGTACTAGGGCCCTCTCCCACCTGAGCAGCTCCAGATGCTTGCTCTTGCTTAAGGTCTTAACATAAACTGCTTTTAAAACAACCTCAATTCCCAAGCTTTAGGGATGCACATCCCCAGCAGTGATCTGCCCAGCACTCTAAAGCTGGCCTCCAGCTGGGGCAGGGTGTTTTTCCCCCAAGGAGGTTGTACAGAATCATACAGTCAGTCTGATAACGCAGGCCATGCCTTTGTCCTCAGCACTTGAGGTCAATTGTTTCTTCTGCCAAATTCTTGCACAAGCCATCCCATTTGTGATGATACAACTTTTAATTTTTTTTGTTCAGCTGCCCACATTTATTTCTTAGTTTTTACTGGAAATCCACTTTTAAAGTAGATTCCTGCAGGATGGCCAGGGCATGTCCTGCCCCTCCACCCTGCAGTTTTTGTGCAAGAGAGCCCAACCAACATGAGAAATAACCTTTGTTTGTGCTCTGGGCCAGGCTGAGCAAGCCCCACAGCAGCCAGCATCTCATCCCCCCCAGCCAGAGATGCTGTGGCACCTCCTGCTCCTGCCCTTTGAGTCAAGAGGCAGCCACACTACACCCCAAGTGACGCTTTCCTAGATGGAAATGTAGTTTTTAATTAAGTGTTGGCAGAGTACGTGCTTGGGAGAATAGTTACTCATCATTAGCCTCTCTGTTTAAACATTGTCAAGACAAAAACATTGAAACAATAGCCTTAAAATATCTCAATATAACCATTATACTGGAACTCGAGGCCAGTCCCACACAGCACAAGACCCAGGGGCTGGGGATCTGTGAAATGTGTGTGTCAGTTCCAGCAAAATCCTGATCTCTTGGGAATCCACCAAACCAATCCTCTCATCTCCAGAAGATATCTGGTGCTGGCACTTGGGGCCATGGCTGTTAAACAGCAGATGGCTCCTGAGCTACTTCCTTCACCTGGACAGGAGCTTTCTCCCACATCTGTTTTTCCCAGTAGAAAACAGGTCCTGCAACTCTCATATTTGGCTGCTCTCTGGGCCAACAGGAGGGTGCACTCTGCAGTGTCCCTAGCTGAGTGTTGGGGTCACAAATGTTGGATTGAGTTGAGCCTGAATACAAGGGCTGTCACAGCCTTTAGCAGTGCCAAACAGCTGCACTTTGCCTGCACAAACCTCTGCAAGGCCATGCTGATCATTCCCCAAGGTGTTTAATCACTCAAAGCCAAGGCTGAGAGCTCCCACTCATCCCAAGCTGAGCACTGCTGAAACAACACTGAGCACCACAGCAGATGGAGATCTTGAACAAAATTCCACCACTGGCATTAATAAGCTGTTACTGGCATTAATAAGAACAGAAAAAAACAGTTTTTCAGGGTTGAAAGCACGCTAATTATGCCATATGCAGCCTGGACTGGAGCTCACAGCACTTCCACTCTCAGCAGCACAGCAATCTGGAACTGCACTTCAGAAAGTGGCAGACTGTAGCTTTTTAGTGCACAAAATCTGGGGGTTTTTTTGTTTTGTTTTGTTGTTTGTTTTGTTTTGTTTTTTGCTAGTTAACACAACAGAACCATCACTCAGGACCATTCCTTTGCAGCACCATGACTTCCCAGTGCATCATCCACCTGCCCTTCCCTACATTCCTCCTCACCCCTCCACATAACTGGCACCCCAGCTCACTCCACACCCCGGGCTGCCCCTATTACAGTGCCACCATCCCTCTGCCTCACCCCAGAGCAATGTGTCATGGCTCATTCCAAAAAGCTGGCACGGCATCACCCAAAAAGCTCCCATCAGCTACAACCTCAAATCCCCCTGCAAAGGGATGAAGAGGTGTCAGAAAATGTTGAATGAGACAGAATGAGTAAAAGGTGTTTCATCTTGGACCTTCTCAAAATGAAGTTGGTTGTAACAGGTCTGCAGCCACAGGGACAGGACAATGCCACGAAGGCAACATCCCATGGAGACAAAGCTGTGGCACTCACACATATCCACCTGGAAATTTGCTACACTGCCCTTCCCGTATCACTGATGTTTCACCTCACACTGCTGGACACCTCTCTTTCCTGTCAGGGTATTTAAAGGCAGCTGGTTCAAACCCAACCTATTTCATGGGGACAAAAGGCCACATGCTGCCCAGCAGAGCCCCTCCCATGCAGAGCTGGAGTCTCCATGTTCCAGCCTCTCCCTTCCCCTCCCTTGAGCCTCTCAATAGCTTGTCATCTCTTTAACTTCTCTAACTGATACAAGGGTAATAAATGTGATGTTTGCTGAGGGCTGGTGCATAAACCCTGAGCAAAGCAGGACTCTCACACAGACTTCAAAGAGGTGAGGGCTGCCAGAGCATTAAACTTTCATTGCATTTCCATCAGGAATGGGATGTTGCCTCACCACATCACATTTTTTGCAATGCTGGCTTTGGCAGATAACTGCAAACTCTGGAGTGGAAACTGGGAGATGGAATAGTGGAAAAAAAAATCTGGCAGTGCCTTTGGCAGATCTCTATTTGACTCTTGCAAAAATCAATGTGCTCTTGCAAAAATCACGTTGCTTATTGCAAGTTCAAATGAAAGAGGATTGGGAGAGCATGCCTGACTCCTTTTCCTCCTTCCCAGCCTGTACCTCCACAGTGTTTCCCACACACACTGCATTCATCCTCCCTGCCCAAGGGAAAGCCCTTGTCAGTGCTCTGTCCTCCCAGAGATGCTTTCCTACTCCTCTCCTCTCACAGAGGAGAGCAAAACCAGATGGTACAATGAGGCTTGAATCTGTTGCTGACAGGTCAATGGTTTGGGCTTGCAGCAACATTGCAATCCCCAAGGATCCTTTGTGTTTTCCCTTCCTCTGATCTGCCCACAGTTGAAGACAGATTTGCAAACAAGGTCAGAAACAAGAAATCCAACAGCCAGGCTTTCCTCAATCACCCCACAGCCAAGAACAGTCCTGGGATGCTGGATTTTACCTTGGGGCAGTAACTGCTGCCTATAAAATCCCTACACAGTACTCAAATGGAGATAACAGGGGATTGGCTGCTGGCCAGCCAAAGGATTCAATACTAAGAACAAGAATATTGCTTTAGTTTTTCTGGGTAAAAAGTTGGTAAAAAATTTTAGGACATCTGCTTATTTCTGTGCAGAACTGTACCACTGCAAGAGGAGATGCAAGCACCTGAGCCCTCTGCTCCAAAATGAATAAACTGGACAGGCAAGAGGCTGATATTTCTGTCCCTGCAGAAAAGGAGAAGTCACACAGATATGCCCTGATGCACCCCCTGGGAGCTCCAGAAAAAGGCAACCAGGAGAGGGAGTTCAGATCCAGGCTGCAGGTGTCCTCCCATGTCCTCACTCCCTACAGCAGCCAAATCTGAAACCTCCATCAGGAGGAGAGACTGAGTCACTTTCAGATTCACTGTGGGACTTCAGGGATGCTCAGGGCACTTGTGTCACCTGGGCACCAAGGGAAAACAGGCCAATGTGGGTATTAGGGAGGAGAGAGTCAAAATTTTACTATGTGCCTGCAAATCCCTGCCTTGGAGCTTGAGAAGGGCACCCAGAAACCATAACCCAGCTGAAGCAGCCTGGGGACCTGCTCCCAGACAGGTGCCCCAGCCTGAGCAGAGGAGCCCCCCTCACTGCTTCCACCAGGCTTGGCACTGCAAGTGCTCTTCCCCACCAGTTTTCCCTCATACTGGGAAGGTTGGTACACTTCAGGACAACCCATTTGCAGCCTAATATCACATAGGTTTATTTATCTGTCTACATGCAGGGCTGTTTTGACAGATGCATAAATAAGAAATGAGCAAGGTAGTTTCAAATGAATAATTTACAAGACAAACCTGCTCTCTTTTTGCTGTTTATGGCATCACTGAGAGCAGCCCCCCATTTCCTGGATGTACCAGTTATTTGCAATGCCTCAGCAATGTGGTGGCCAGGCTGGTTCTCCAACTGCTCACCCATCACTCAGCACCGGAGCCTGCGGATTCCGCACTCACTGCTTGAGCTCCATCCTCCTCTCCCATGGCCTGATGCCCTGAGCCAGCAGCTCTGCAGCTGGGCTGAAGAGAAGCTGCATCTAGGTTTTTCTCAGTTTAATTTCTCCTTTGGGAACTGCTTCCAGTTCTGTAATCAGTAGAGCTCTAACTTTTTGCTACAGCAAACCCCATGATTTAGAAGTTGTGGCTTATCTTGCGGTTGAAGCGTGCTCAGGGGACACAAGCCCCATCAATTCCATGAGAACAAGATTTCCCAAAAAGCTGATGTCAGACACAGACAGGGAGGCATTTACAGCCACAGGGAACAGGATGATGCCTGAAGGGGACTACTTCCCAGCAAGCTGGGAGCCTTGCTTTGGAGGCTGATGTAAAACACCCCAGAACCCTGACACAAGATCCCTGTGCTGCCCATCCCTCACACCACACAGAGAGGAGCAGACAATGCCCTGGCAATCCACAAACCCAGAAAAAAGCATCTTATTTCACTAAGCTTCCCCAAGCAGTGCTGTCATCTGGGCAGACCACTCCTTACAAAGAGCAAAGTCATGCATTTTTCCTGGTTTTGGTCTAACTGCTCTTACTTCATACATCTTTCATCCACAGAGACACACAATGGTTTTGCTGCTTCAGCATAACTATTTTGACTTTGTACTCTTCAACAAGTTCCTATTTCTGCTGGGTAAGATTAATAATCAAGTATTCAAGTATGTGCACTTGACAGAGTGAACTGGGCTTTTAAACAGAGGTATCTTGGCAATTCTGACTGTGAGACTGATTGTCACAAATCAGACTGTGGGCTGACTGTGTGGAACTGCAGAAGACCCACAGGGGTGTAGGGCTGCATAATAAAGTGCAGATGAAGCTCAAGGCAGAAAGCAAGACTCCAGCTCCAAGACTCCACTTAATGCTGGGCTCTCACTGACCACCACCCGTCTGAGCGAGGCGTCAGGGCTGGCAGACTGCTCTGAGATCTGACATAAATACTCAGTGGGTAACCTCAACCCATCAGGCCTTCTTGAATTATAAAGCCCAAATGTTAGGTGTTAGAGGAAGAGCAGCAGAAAACAAACCATTAAACCACAGAGCTGTGCAAAGTCACAGTGTTCCCACCACCTGCAGACACTTTAGTCCCCTTACCTCAAAGATGGAGATATAAATTAATGCCTCTCTACTAAAAGTGTTGCATTATTCTACTACATTTGAGGATCTGATCACCTAATCTGTGAGTTGAATTAGACAAGAGTTTTGCATCTTAGAATTCAAGTTCTGCAGAGGGTCTGTCAGGCATTCAAACTTCCTGGGAGGATGCAGAACAAGCCCTCTGAGGAGTATGTGAGCAGGAGACCAACACCCACCTGGACCGTGGCAGGAACAGCCTCAGGCACCTGATACTTCAACTCATGAGCAGTTTGCTGAGATTTTGGCAACAGGAATGGGTAGGACAGGGACCGGTATTTGGGTTTCATAATCTGCACAGGAGGGAAAAAAACAGATAAAGAAAAAATGCTTGCAACAGATAAAGAAAAAATTCTTGCAACACACAAGGAAATAAAACAGATGCCTGCAGAGGGCAGGGGGATGAGGCAAGGCTGTGCTTATCTCCGTGCCCCCAGCAGTGAGAGCACACCCACCTTGGTGAAGTTCCAGCGCTGGATGAAGTGCCGGGCGATGTCGCGCGCGGCTCTGCCGTGCACCACGGAGGAGATGTCGTGCCAGGGCATCCTGGGCGTGGTGTACCTGTCAATGAAGTCTGGGGGACAGGGGAGCACGGCTGAACTTCCTCAGACAAAGGACATGAGTGTGGAAAAGCACAGCATCCCCTCCTCACACTGAGGTTTCTGGCACCAAGCACCCCCGAGGCAGATGACTTGGACTGCAACAGCATAATTGGCCCTAAAATCCCTCAAAGGGAGTTTTGCTGCTTTTTCCTAGCAACCAAACCAAACCAAACCAGCCTTGTTACCTCTGGCTTGGAGGCAGGAAAAATAAGACCTGAGACTGAAGAGGTACAGAAGAAAGTTTGGGGAATGCAAAGACTCCCACTCACCAGCAAAAGGCTTGTCGAGTTGAACCCAGTCTTTAAAGACAAAGTTGCAATAGTCTTTTCCGTGCCAGAACCTGGTTTCCCCGAGCAGCTCTCCAACACCTGTCTTCAGGCTACGGATGGATCCTTTATCTGTGCAGGCAAACAAAACAAAAACATGCTCCAAAGTCATGGCCATCACTGCACACAGCAGTGAGAGACTCAGAGGAACAGCACTGCTGGGACCTGCCAGTCCCAAGAAGCTGAAGCTGGTTTCTCCCTGGTCTTCCTGTTACTTTCAAGGGATATATGTCAGCATTTTTTTTTTCCTATTTTAGTATTTCTTGTATAATCAGAAGAGGTTATAAATAGGAGTCTGTTACGGAAATGAAAAGCAGATGCTGAATTTTATCTTGGACTGCATCACCCTATAACCATTTGCCTTTCCCAGTTCAATAACACCTAAATATTCCCATATGGCAGATCATGTTTCATATATTTTACATTAATAGTGAACTAATTCCATCTTCTCTGCTAGAGAGTTTATTATTTTGCCTCTCTAGCTGGGTGCATCTCCTTCAATAGAAGTAGTATTTATTATCTAGAATGAGATGTTCATGTTCCCTCATGAAGTATTGTGGGTTTTCTTAGTATCATTTTGTTTTTTCCAAATAGCAGTGTCATTTGTGATACAATTTCACATGTTGAACAAATGGATCCTGAATTCCAAATTAGTGTTGATTGAGAACAGTCTGAAATATTATATGCAGGGATATTCCCTCCTAACAGGATCCTATTTCCAGAGCACATATTTTAGTGCAGTGAACTCTTCTTCCAGGCTCTTAAAAAATCCAAAAATGTTGGCCTACACCATAAACAGTTACCTGGTGTTATTTCCTGACTGTGAGAGCAGCCTTCATCTGCGACACCAAATATTAATGCAATAATTATACATCAATGCCACGAGCAGAAACTTCCTCCTAACCCAACCACACCACCAGGTAACCACAAAACCCCTCAGTACACAGAAAAACCAACTGTAAACAGTCAACAAAACACACACTGGCAGCAGCACAAGACCAGGGGACACAAAGCAAGCCCTGCCAGCGCCGCTGTGACCCTGCCAAGCCGAGCTGAGCCAAGCCATGCCAGAAATGCCATGCAGCAGATCTGCACCACAGCTGCCTGGGGAAGCTCCAGCCTCTAGTGAGAGTCCAGGTGGAGCTGGGGAATCACTGACTCCACATGCCTGGGTGGGAATGGCAATGTGTGGGATACAGGCCAACACACGCTCTGATGACTGCACAGTGACTCATGAGTGAGCATGAATGGCCACGGGGAGACTGCACATTGTCTCCACAAAGACATGGAAATGCTTTGTTGCCTGCCACTACTTTGTAACCAATATTCTCTAATTGGCAATTAATGCCTTAGAGGAAGATGTTTGTAAGAGGATGATGCTGAAGAACTGCTCCTCACTCCGTTCCTGCGCCCAAAGGCATCTTGGAATGGTACCAATGGTACTGGGATAGGCCCTTCCAATACCAGTCCAGAGATGGGAACAGCTCAGTGCTCACAACTCCCCAACTCCTGTCTCAACTGAGTGTGCTTTCCTTGGTTTAAATTAGGAGCAAAAGAGGGGACCCAAGTCTTTGTCCAAACACAGGACTGGCAGCAGCCACTCTGCTGCTTCCTCTCTCTGTTTGCATGTCTTCCTGCATCAGGCTTACTTTAAAAATATCCAATACAGAACTTCCCAGTTCCAGTAACAGCTCTTTCCTTTACAGGATGAGAGCTGCTGAAATCATCACATACCAGAATCAGAACTATTTCTGCAACTGTTCCCTGCTGTTTTTATTGCAAATTTTTTGTTTGCTCATTTGTTTGATTTTGGATTGTTGTTGCTGTTTGGGGGTTTTTAATTCTTATTTATTTATGCTGCAGCATTTGTAGTTTCTGGAGAAGGCTCTTCTGCTAGGATGCCCACAGAAGCGGGATAAGGATGCTGGGAGAACAACAAGCAGCAAAGGCTGATCCTGGCACCCAACCTCACTCTTACCATAGTTATAATGCAAAAACATCAGCAGCTAAAGCCTGAAGGAGTCCACAGCTCTGCCTTCCTCCACTTACCCTCCCGAGGCTCAGCAAGCCCCTGTTTGGATTCACAGTGGTGATGGAACATTTTCAGATGGGGCCTTAAACTCTGGATTATATTCGGCTGGCTCCTAGTGGGGGTAGAGTAACCTGCAGAAAGTCAAGATGCTCTATTCATGGCAAAAACACATGTCCACCTCTGCCACCACGGTGCCTGCTCCTTTCTGAAGACACATGGCAGACAGGAACTCAAACCAGATGTCAGCTTGCTGGAACTGCAAGTGGCTGCCAGGCAAAGGACCCAACTCAGGACCCAGCTGGTTTTAACCCAAACAGTTGTAATGAAGTACAAAGCCATGGCTGTGTCCTGAGCTGACTGCAACCAAGATCCCCATGAGGAGCCAGAGGCAAGAGAAAGACCAGCAGGGAGGGATGGAAATTCCAGTAAGTTCCCCCATCTTCAGGAGCTGAGGACTTCCAGGAAGGATTTCATTCTGGAACAATTGCCAAGCTGATCCTTGTAATTTTAGCACTGAAGTTATCTTTAATGTTGGGAATTAAAAGCTTCATTTAAATATTCAACTGATGAACAAACTTTCCTCTCTAGTAAGTGGGTAAATTTGGAATATTTCCATTTATGTGAACTTATTTAAAACCTATCTTTTAACACTAGTCTGTGAGAGGAGATAATCCCATTCAGAAATTATTTGCTTGTTATAATAAATCCAAGTTGAAAAATGAAAGATTCAATTCTCTCTTGCAGGAACAAACACTTCTCAACAATACAAACATTAAGAATCACATACACTGTATCACATCATCTGATGGCTCATGAAAATTGCTAATTAGATAAATAAAAAAACACATAAAACCCTTCTTCTCTATTTTGCAGTGACACAAATTTACATGTTGGCTACACACAGCTATTATTCTGATAGTTAGGTAACTTGTCAACTTTCCTTCCATACAAAGAACACATTGCCCTAGAAATCACGTGAACGTGCACAAACACCCACCACCACCTCCACACATCCTTTATATACATTATTTAGCTGAGCATCACTCACTTGACTCACTGTCGATGCTGCTGACGCTGTCAGAGTGGTGCATGCTGTGCTTGTGCAGGTGCTTGTAAATGCTGAACCTTGAAAACTTTTTGGGTTTTCCTACTCCTTTCATCTTTGATGTGTCTGGGGCATCATCAGCATTTCTCTCGAACAAGTGGCTCTCTGGGGCCAGACCTTGAGGCTGCAGCAGGACACGTTCAGTGGACTCTGCTGTAGCCTTAAAAGACACAAGACATGGCTGCAGGTCAGGTATGGAGAGGTTCCCCTTACAGATTCTCATGCAGATCAGTGCTCAGAAACAACCACAAGCCAAATTTTGCTCTGTGACAGACACATTACAGTGGGAACTAGGCATGCTTTCTGGGGAGTCTGGACTGAGGAGGTACTTACCAGGAAAGCCTAGTAATAATAGCAGCATTTGGATCCATAAATTTACTCTGGATTATTACTTCCCTTGAAATTCTCATCAACCTTAGACCTCGCAAATTTTTAGAGACATGTGGTTGCATACAGACCCAAGTTAGCAGAAAGCTCAGCAAACAAGGCAGCTGCTGAGGGCACAAACAACAAACATTTCAGAGCACTCTCCAAGTGCTTACTCTGCATTTCTAAGTTTTGTTAAGAAAAGAGTGGTTGCCCAGAGAAGTTGTGGATGCCCCATCCCTGGACATGTTCAAGGCCAGATTGGACAGGACATGGAGCAACCTGGTCTAGTGGAAGGTGTCCCTGCCCATGATGGAGGTAGAACAACATGATCTTTAAGGTCCCTTCCAATCCAAACCATTCTAAGATTCTATGATTTTAAGAACACAGACTTCAAATTGTGGCTGCTGTTGCAAGCTCTAGGGGAAACCCAGCTCTCTTATTTCTGTGCCCTAGCAAGGGCTTGTCAGCACCTACACCTAAAGAATCATTGGATTCTTAGATCCTTCCTCTCACCACTTATTTGTCATTAAAGCCTCAAAACCCAACTCCATGCTCCGAAGAGGACACAGCCCATTCACCCCTCCCCAGACCTGCCATGGCTGACTGTGCCCACCAGCTGGACCCTGCCCATTCATGTGCAGGCCCAGGAATTTCCTGGGGAGAAGGCAACAACAATACCCCGGAGAGATGCACTATAGGCTCCAGGCATTCCCCATGGGATAGGATGAGGAAAGAAGCTTCTCCCATGGTGCTCTGCACCACTATGTTAATTTGTCCCAGTTCTGTCTTCCCCATTGTCTCACTGGCCTTCCCTACCCCTTTTACCCTTGTATGTTAATATTTAGTAAGTTCTCCCCGCCCTGTTTTCCCATTGGTTTGTGTAACCCCGCCAATCCACCCTGGCATTTTCTATTGGTCCCTTCCCTGTGTACCACTCCTGAGCCCTCAGACTATTGGATCCATGATGCTCTTCTCCATCCCCTCTTTTCCTGGACCCTCCTTTGTCTTTGTCTATTTACACCCTGGACCCTCCTTTGTCTTTGGCCCCTGGACCCCTTCAGCGTTGCCCTACATCGAAGCACATTGGAACTCCATGCCTGGACCCTCCTGTGTCTTCACTGCTGAGCTGCTGCATGTGTGTGCGTGTGTGTGCTGGTGCTCTGGTGGCTCCTACCCCCTGGCTCTTGGGGAAGGTTGCATTCCCCACCAGCAGCACCCACTTACAGCCAGGTTGGCGGTGGACAGTGACTTGGTGGCGGCGGCGGAGGCGCGCTTGACGCTGCCCACGTCAGTCAGGCGGTGCTCGTCGTCGTCCCAGCGCCCGTAGGCCAGGTCAATGCCACCCACGAACGCCACGGACTGGTCCACAATCACCAGCTTCTCGTGGTGGGCCCACAGGTACACAGAGGAGGACACGTGGTCTGGGTGTCTCATCACCTGTGAGGAAACCAGCACTCGAGCTCAGCATCGCTGTTAAATTTAAATCCTTCCAGGCAGAGAGCTGGTCAGCCTTTTTTGGCTGTTTGGGGTGATGGGGAAATGCTGGAGTTGTTACTGGATGCATTCACTGCTTAATTAGCAGAAGCTATCCAATTTCCCCATAGCAGGTGTCAGCCATATGGCAGGCAGGTGTTTCCCCAGGATGCAGGAATCCCAAGCAGCAATGATTACTGATGCTGGGACAGGTCACCCTTACAACAGCTTCATAAGAGGACCATAGTCAAAGAAACTGCTTCAGTTGAGCTGTAATAGCTGAGCTTTCAAACACAGAGCCTGCTCCGAAAGAAAATAACATATTGGTGATCTGAGTCACTTCTTTGGTTGTTGCCACCACACAAGTGAAATGAGAAGCTGGGTGGTTTTTTTTCCCCCACTTAAAATCAAATTGTTTGGCATTTGTTTAAGAATTTCTTTTTGACAAGTGTCTGCGGAACCCTAATTTCTGTATCTAAACTCAGGGTTTTATTTATGATGTTAGAGCCACTAGATCAGTCTCCTGGAGAAAAAGCTACCAAGTTTCACCTGGCTGCCCCCAAAACCTGAGACACAGCTCGTGTGTATTGTCCAGTTTTGCTACAAAGATGATGAACAGATGCTTCCCTTCGCTGTGACAATTGATCAAGTGAAAATAAATCAATTATTCTAACATAACAAGTATCTTACTGCTCATTAAGGTGTATGCGTCTCTAAGAGACTGGATCTAGCCTTATCTACTCGTTTGTCTGCCACAACTGATTTTCTGCTTGGTGCCATAAGAGCAGTGTAACAGCACAGGACAGGGCAATGCTGTTCTTCTGTGGTGGGAACATTAACACCCAGGGTTGACTTTGATCATTCACATTTGAGCAGAAATGCTGAAATGAGACAACACTCTCAATTTGTAATTTTCCATTTGATGTAACCCCATTAACTTGTCACATGAACTATACTTCTTGTGAATTAAGGCAAACAGTTGCTTTGGCAAATCTAAACTAAGCAATTTTATGTTCCATTTGAACCTAATGAAATGAAATTGCCAGATGTGGCATCAGCATGTGGATGTACCTTGTCAGACACACTGCAATGGTGGGAAACACTCCTGAACTTGCAGTTCCCACCCAAATACACCAGGGTCAGCACCAGCCATCAAGAATACCTGAATGCAAACACCCTCCACACAGTCCTGTGCAATTACCTTGATGTTTGGATGGAGGTGCATGAGCGTCCGCTTGCTGTATTCACTGTTGATCCCCAGGGCAAGCTCCACCTCTTTGTACAGCATAACAAAAATTCTCACTCCTTGTTGCTGTCAGAAATAAAAAAGAACACATTGAATACAGGCACATCAATAGATAGTGTCTGTTTCCAAAGGGAGGAAAAGCTAGAGGCAGTAAATGTGTTGTGTTTGCTGATGGAAATGCTGACTGAGGTTACTTGTTCCTGGTTTCGCTCTTCCAGATCCCCCATGGGGACTCCACAGCCTGGAATAACCTTGGGAAAGCTCTCCAGCTTTCTGAGAAAGGCTCAATACCTGGGTTTGTGTGGCTTTTGTTGTTTTGTCTGAGCTATGCCAAGGCCCATCCACAGGTCATTCCTACAGCAGCTCCTTTTACACACCCTTTGAGGTAGATTTTGCAAGCACGATTCACTCCAATCATGTTCATCCACTAAAGTTCAGTGTTCTGCTGCTTCGTGTTGCCCTGAGGGTTGCCCTCAGTTAAATGTCCCTGCAGGATGACATGACCAGTGAGATTACACAGACATCCCCCTCCTGAAGGGGATGTCACCAACTCAACACCAGCAAAGAGATTCTTTCTGCTGGTAGAGCTAAACAAGCTGCTGGAACACACTGAGCAGTGCTAAAAACATGGTGCTTTTTGTGACCAGCATTGTATCCATGGCAGGGTTTCTAAAAACTTTTGTTAAAGCACTTTCAAATGTGCCAAGTGCCTCCCAAACCTTGGCAAATACTGGTCACACACTGGGACACCTCCACTTCCCATAAATTTGCATGTATTAAAAGCCTGCACTAGAATTTGCCAGCTTAAACTTGGAACCTAAACTTTCCACAGCCTTTTGAATTTCTATTCCTATAAAGCTGCTACTAAGAGCTAGGCAATCTCCAAATTGTGGATGATATTCTCTTCTCCACTGCACCCAGGGGAGTCCAAGGCAATGCTGCATACACAGCAAGGACAGCCTCACCCCTATACCATTACATCAGCTTGCTGACTGCCCTGTTGAGTCAAAGGAACACCACAAGTGACAGAGCAAGCATTTCCAGGGACTGACCTCACTCACCTTACCACAATGTTTTTATGGTCATAAGAAAATCCATGTCAATGTGGCAAAAAGAAGCCAAATCCCTCCTTTGAGTGAGTGATGCCTTGTGGCCAGTTTATTTTTGCCAGAAAACAAGAGTAATTCCAAACCAACAACAGTCAGACACAAAGCTCTCATTTTTTTATCTAGGTATGTGGAGGGGTGAGGACTGTGATGACAACTGGCTGGAAAGGGGATAAAGTCCAAGAGTATTTCAGCACATCACAGAATGGTTTGTGCTGGAAGGGAACTTCAAGATCATCTTGTTCCACCCCCAGCCATGAGCAGGGACACTTTCCACCAGACCAGGTTGCTCAAAGTACCAGTCAACCTAGCCTTGAACAATTCCAGGGATGGAGCAGCCATGATTTCCCAGGCAACCTGTGCCAGGGCCTCACCACCCTCACAGAGAAGAATTTCTTCCTAATAGCTAATCTAAACCTGCCCCTTCTTAGTTTAAAGTCCATGTCTATGGAATGCATGGAATTCTGCCCTTCTACTACAGCAAGAGTCCAAGAGGTTTCCCTTGGAATAGGAACAAACCTTGTGACTCTGCTGATATGGGCAAGCTCTTTTTAGCACCGCTGTTATCACTGTTATCACAGGGTGTGTGAACAGCTGGAGCACAGCTCACACTCATAAACAAAACTCCACAAAGTGCTCAGCCTTCCCTGTACCTCTAAATTACATAAATCACATGGAGAGCAGGGAGAACAGCAGGTCTTTGACCCCACTAGGAACTGAGACAGTTGTAAAGCAAGGCTGTGACCCAAACCTGGGGCACTCAGAGGATCTAACCTTCTGCCTCTGAGCTCTTCCAAACCCAAACGAGGGGAGCAAATCAAAACACATGGTTTTCCAAGGCTATCTGATGTGAGGCTTTAACTCTCCTATCTGCCAAAATGAATGGTGGAAGTGCTCCAGCCCCAGTATGACCCCCTGGCTGGGGGTGCAGGGTGCAGCTGGAGCTCACTTACTGCTTTCCTCTTGAGGATGCAGTCCAGCCGCCAGCGATTCCCTTCCACGACCGGTCGCTTCATGAAGATTTCCGGGCTCAGCCTAAGAAAATAAAGGTGAATAAAAACTACAGCAGATGTAGCCTGCAAACAAAGCAGTGGCCTAAATAACCAACTTGGGAAGCAAAGGAATTGAAGTTTAAATAAAGTGGATGTGAAAGCTCATGTCCCAGAGTGATGCATTCTCCAATATCCTGCTCTTTGTTCTTTAATAACTGAGCATTACAGAGGGCAGGGGACATGTCCAGCACATTCATCTTCATATTCAATAACCCACGAGATCAGGTTGAACAGTGATGTATAAATAGGGAAATTTGGACTCTATCTGTGAAAGAAAGATGCAACAAAAGAAAACCCCAAGGATTTTCTGAAAGAAATATACAGACACAAAAAATAAATAAGAGTGGGATTTCAGTTCTCCTGGCACCTAAGCTATCTGAACAGAATAGATTTGTGCTGAATTTTCCTTGCTGCCCATAGACAAAGAAATTGGATCTCTCAACAGGACATGTTATTGCTTTAAGGATTACAAGAAATAGTTAAGGAATCTCATCTAATTCCTGCACAGTGAGATGACAGAATTTCATTCCTTTACATTTTGTACCAAGCATAGCAACTTGAGCTTGGATAAAGCATATTGCTACATCCTATTTTTATCTTATACATCAAGTTTTAGGTAAGTTTTGGAATTCCATGATAACAATTGTTTGAATAAAACACTCAGTAGGAGACAATGGGTCTGAAATGAGATGTTCTTGAACTGCCACCTTATGTTGCACAGGGGGAACCCATGAGCATTAGGCTTAACTGTGGTCATGGCAGGAAACAGATTTACCCCACCAAATGCTAACATGGTATGTAGTTTTCTCATAATTTCCTCCTAGAAACAAATTCTCCCAGTTCCCAGAGGCAGCAGATAAGCAGCCAGAGGTTCATTTCAGAGGCAGAGAAAGAGGAGCACAGAGATGTGCCTAAGGTGAACAGGAAATCTGAGTCATGTCTTGGAAGCCTCCCATGCCCAAGGTTCAGGCTGGCTCAGGCAGATTAACCTCCAGAAAGGCAAGACATGGGCAGCCACAACCAGCACCCAGCCAGCAGACTCTGTCCAGGGTGTGAAAGCACCCTTTTCCTGACGCAAACAGGAACCAGAGCGCTGCATAAACACAAACTAGGGAACAAGTGGGCAGAGCCAGGTCCTTCAGCAAACACACAGCTCAGAAAAGGTGACAAACCTCTCCTCCTCCCTTATCTGGCCCATTTAAGAGCAGACCAAAAGGACAAACCACAAGATGCTCTCACACTTGGCATGAGGCTTCCCAAGGCAATGAGGAGGAAATGAAAGGAGATCCCATGCAGGATCCCATAGCACTGTTGAGCATCCTTCCTCCCTGATACACTGAAAGACACCCATGCCCCTCAGACTTGCAGCTATTTACACTCCTGAGGAGCCCCTCAAGCCACCACATGTGCAGTTCAGGTGGTGCCTCCGTGTGATTCAGGCATTTCCGTGGAGGGAGACAACCAAGCTGTTGATCTGAAGCGTGTGCTTTTGCTGCCAGCCCTCCTGAAAAGGCCTTTGAATACAACACAAGGAGAGTTTTGGGTGTGCTGCCAAACCATCTGGCTGCAGGGCTAGCTGCCATACTGTAGGGCTCCGAACAGTGCCGCATTGTCGGTAGCGTCCCCGGAGAGACAGCTGGGCAACACCCAAACACGGCAGTACTCACCACCAATCTGTGATGAAAATTTCCTCCTTAGCAGCTTCCATGGCATTTGCGACGTCTTCAAAGTACCACTTGGCATTGACATACCTGCAAAAGCAAACAGAGTGCAGAGTTATGCCTCCTCCCCTTCATTAAGCAAAGTACACAGCTGAAGAGCGATGGGGTTCTGTGTTAATGACATTTACGTTCCTGTCTCGAAAGCAAACACAATCAAATTTCCAGAATCAGGACAACATGCAGGGAGAATTCTATGCTGCTATCAGTAGCTTGATGAAACAGCACAATAAAGGAATATTAAGTGCCTCTTGGCACTTATGCCAAATTCACACAATATTCCTGGGTTCTGCTTGACATGCAAGCCAGGTTTGTCTCTCAGGAAAGGATGATGGAATGGTGTTTCCTTTGATTTATGGAAAGTACTCAGGCAGAGGTCGCTGCAAGGCAGATGGTGCAGGGAAAGTACTGGTCTGCTTCCAGCTAGAATCCAGTTTTTGAGGCACTTCTGGGAATGGATTAGTGCAGTCAGGTTACACTGGGGACAGAATGATTTCTCAGGGGCTGCTGAGTGCATAAAGCCCAGCCCACCCTCCTAATTATACCCAGATCTGCGTTTGTTGATTCCCTCTTCTTCTCTTTATCCTTACAATGACAAATACCCAACACACCTTTGAAATTAAACATAACTTGACTTGCAAAACACAATGAGCTGTGACACTGAGAGCTCCTTTCACCAGCACTGCTACTCCGTCCCTGGTGAAGAAAGCCTCATTTTTTTTTTTTTTGCAACTTCTTTAATTATCACCAGTCCCCAAGCTACCAAAGGCTACCAGCTCTGTTGATGAGAGGTGCTGAGGGCAGGCAGGTAGCAGGTGCTCACCACTTGGCCAGGGTGTTCTCCTGCACGGCCGCGTAGGAGCCGAAGCGATGCTCCGTCAGAAAGTCCTTGCCGTGCTTGCGGATGAACTCGTCTATGCCCTGCCTCCACCACTGGGCATGTCTGTAGCTGTTACACTTCAGAATCAGTGACCTGTAAGAATACACGAAGCACAGGGCAGCAGGCTGAAGCCATTTCCATTTAACTGGGCTGCTCCTCCCTGCCTGTCCATGTTGGTAAATGCATCTGTACCAGTCATATTTTATTTACGCAAAAAGTAGGGACGACGCTGCTTTGTTTGCAAAAGAATGCACAGCGCTGAGCTGCTCTGAGTGACTAATAGCATTGCAGTGCCAAGCATGAAAAACCCACCCATGTTTAAATTATTAGCACCAGCTTAACTTGGAGCTGGAGCCAGCCAATGTTGTATTTTTTAAGAGATTAATTTATACTGTGCGCTAACATAAAAACATTAAATATCTCTTTATCCCCCACTAGCATGTCTTTTGAGCAATACTCCATTGGGATGCAGAAGAAAACATCCCTTCTTGCAGCTTAAAGAGAACAGAGAGTCTAAAAATTACCTAAGCAATTGCTGTTGAACCAGACTGTGCAACTCAGCATGCACTGTGCCCCCAGGCTCCAGTAATAACCACAGGGATGGACAAACAGAAGCTCTAAATGCCTCATTAAGGCATGGAAATAATCAGCATTAGGGCCAAATCCCCAGCAGGTCTGAGCACACCAGCAGCAGTCACCCAGGCTTGTTAACCTCTCCTGCAGAGCAGCATCAATTTCTCCATAAAAAGCAAGAGCAAACTAAGAGAGGATAAACAAAGTTGTTTTCTTACCTGGAGAGATTGTCGATCTGCAACCCGTATTTAGTTTCTGTTTCTTTCTGGCCTATCTTGATGTTGAATTCCTTATCAACCAGCAGGACAAAGGAAATGGCCCCTGAATCAGGCTTCATGTACATCAGGAAGGAGTCCTTCACCACCAGCCACCTGTACAGACACAGCAACCATGTCACCTGGATTTCACACCCATGCCAGGCCTTGAAATGTGAGCCACCGAAAGAGCCAATAAAATGGAAAAGTGCTTCTTCAAAACACGGGCAAATCATTTATCTGGGAAATCTACTAAATGGTAAAAATTATTCTGAGGAGCTAGACTGGGGGTGGTATTCTTGAGCAGAAAAGTGTCTATTTTACAAACTTGGGTAATGAGTTTTAATTCAATATAGGACTTTTAGAGTTAATTACATAACTCCTTTTTACAGGAGTCTTTAAAAATACAGGCTCCCTCGTTAAACAAAACCCACGAGAACCTCCCTGGTCATAAATCTCCAAGCATGAGGCAAGGTGCAACAAGCCTTCCTCCATCCCTAATTTTCATTCAGCTTGTATGCTATATGGGAGTTATTTGACATTTCTTACATTAATTCTGATGCTAGGATCACTTTCACTCCTACCAAAATATATGAACAAGGCATTTTGGAAAGCTTTTATTGCCAAGCAACAGGCACCCTGTTAGAAACACATGAGGAGGGATGACCGGCAGGTTTTACATAAATACTGTAGCCTGAAGGCAACTCTGGGAAAAAACACATTTTTTACTGTGAATGGCATTTCTAATCTTTTCTCCCCCTGCAGTGTAGCTGGGGTAACCAGCCCCCTCTGTCCCACACAGGTCTCCCTCACCAGACCTTTGCTTCATTCTTCTGCACACTCAGAAACACACAAAGCACCACAAAACACTGCAAAAATCTGTTCATTCTTGTATCTTTAGTAACAGCCTCAGCACCTCATCTATTTCCCATAATTTTTTATTAGATCACGTAATTTTTTTTCTTGCTTTCAGGGCCCTGAAAGAGTTACCTGGTATCACCTCTCATTTGGTGCCAAAATACCTCCCCTCTCTATTTGGCCCATAATTTCACTCTTAAACATCCCACAGGGTGTATTTCCAAATACTCTCTCTTCTGTTTTGCCCAGGCAGCTCTACATGCCTGAGGAGTCCTGCCTGTGCCCACCCACAGTTTCACCCCACTATCCTCCTCCATCTCCTAAAATCTTTCCTTTAAATAACCCTCTCTGGGAAATATTACTGTTATTTGCTTATTTATTGATGCATAAACTATCAGTCCCAGTGTGCCAAGATGGGAATTCAGTGTCTCACTTGTGATATTCTGTACACAATCCCACTCAAACATTTCTCCTACCCCCTTTCTAGGCTCTAAAGAAAAATGGAGATCCATCAGAGCTGGATGTGCTACTGGCCCCACTACAGCTTGAGCTCTGGACAACACAAGAAAGGGTTAACTGAGGAATATCAAGAAGAAAAATCATATTTTCCATAAAAAAGAAAAAGAATTGGTGACGATTTAATGATTTGACCTGAAGGAAGGTCACATATTTGTCTCCTTGTGCCCTCATTATAGAGATCTTCTGTAAACCTAAATTAGGAAATGTTGGAAAGACTGTGCAGAAACAGAACCTTTTCTTCACAGGAATGCAAAAGGGTTTTGTTGGAAAACAGAATTATTAAAGATAAAACTAATGACAGCCCATGGGTGATGCTAAAATCCAAAGGTGCATAGTGCCTGGGGTAAGCTCCATTGACTAAGAAATTGTTGCTGCAAGGCAGATATGGGCTATTTGGATTTTGAAATGGAAAGATTTGCCTGGGAAGGGCATGCTCCAGGAAGTACAGCCTGCATATTTTGGAGGCTGGCTGGTAACACAGATACTCCCCCACAGCACACATCTCCCTGTGCTGCAGCCCCAGGCAATACAGAGACCTAACACAGAGGGTAAAGGGATGGGAACAGCAAATTATATCTGTGCACCAGGAAGGGACATGGGAACAGGAGAAAACATTGGGGTTCAATACCTGCAGTAATCAGCAAGAGGCAATACATAAATGTATTTAATGCCATGGTTAATTGCACCAAACAGCTCCTTAGCATTGCAGGTCACATCTGATTTGATCCTGCCCTGAAGCAGTCCAATGAGTGTTTCAATTAATTGATTTTCATTTTGTAAATTGAGGAAGGGAAGCTCAGAAGGCTGGGCTGAAATCTGCCTGGGGCAGGTCACCAGCCTCATTCCCTCCCAGAGGCACAGAGCCACCTGTGCTCCTGCAGCAGGGAAAGCTGGGCACAGCCTGGGAGGGCACTGTCATTTCTGTCATCTCTAGGAAATCCCAGATTGTCTCTGGAGTAACATGTCCCTTCTGTGAACTCCAAAGGAGGAAAAAAAAAAACCCACCAGATGGAAGGGTGAGGCAGGGAATAGCCCACGGGCCCTTCCAACCTGAAAATCTGTAAAAATAGCAAGATTCTCTCCCACAGATTTTTTGGGAGAAAGAGAGAAATGGGAATTTTTGTGTGCCCAGGGAGCACTGGCATCCCCCCTTGTGGCAGCCCAGCAGTACCTTTTGGACCAGCGGTAGCACATCCTCCCTTGGCCACAGCAGTTGAGGCCAGGAATGCGGTGGCCCCCGGAGCGCTTCATGATGAACCCTTCTCTGCAAGGACACAACAGGGGCAGGGTGAGGCTTGGGGGGGTTTGGAACCCCCAGCCCTTGTGCCTGAGCAGCCTCTGTGCTGTGCCCTAAAAGCTGGATGAAGGGCAAAAATAACCCCCCCCCCCCCCCCAGAAGAAAATAATGGAGCTTTAAGAAGCACAGGGTCCCATTTTACAGCACTGGAAGCAGAAAATTAAGTGGCAGGAAGGGAAGAGTGGAAACCCCGTAAGCACTGTCTTGTAAAGCAGCTCATTCTTAAAAATTTTCTCCAAATTGTAGCATTTCTGTCTGAACAGTAATAATTTTTCATATCTAGATGGCAAAATATTCCCCAGTCATCGCCAGTCAGTTAGTGCTGAGAAAGGAAAGCTATTAATTTTAAGAGTATTTATGTATAAAGCCATGCTCTTAGTGAATCATAACTCACAAAGACAGCTCACAACTCACATGCCCTTCGGTCCCAGGTCATGGATGAATGACAGCTGGCTTACTCCAACAAACTCCATCTGGGAAACAGAAAGAGATTCCCCCATCTTTAGAACCCTGAAATCCACAAAATTTTTTGCTTCATCAAAGTGACCAGCCATAAAGACCTACAGAACATCCAGAGCAGATGTCATCCACCATCACTTAAGCATTTCCAAGAAGACCAAGGAAAGTATTCTGGTTGAGTTTTCTGTTTGTTTATTTTAAATGTACTTTGGAGAACACATTCCAGGACAATTAAACTCAAATGCATCACAGGGACTCCCTGGTATTCTCCCTCCTGGATCTTTGTCTGAAAAAGGACTGAAATTTGACATTGTTCAGGAGTCTGTGTGATCTTGGCTGGCTACCTGAATCCTCTCCTCCCTCCAGGGACCCTCAAAGAAAGACTGCAAAGGAAATGAGGACACATGCCCAGAGCAGGGAGCAACCCTTAAGTCCCCTACCCCATGGAGACACCACAGGAGGGTTCAGCCCCACAACCCACGAGCATCCTCCAAGGCCACTGCAGCAGGTCAGTGCTGGACACACATCACTGCCAACTGGCTCCAGGAACCAAAAATCCATAGGAAAACCACAGTGGGGCAGGAGGAGAGCAAGTTCAAATCCAGGAACCTGCCTCCTCATGGCTCCTCCTGCTTCAGCAGGGATTGCAGGGAACATAACAGTGAGCAAAGCTGGTGAGAAAGCTCAGCACGATTACATTCACCTCTAAAAATAGGACACTGGGCAATTTCAACTGAGCAGGCTTTTCTTGGCACAGCAGGACATTCCTGGCAGCCTGCTGGTTATTAGCCCTGGGCCCCTTTAGCAGGGAGAAACATTCTCCCAGGGTGTCCTGTGCAGGACAGGGCTGGGGCAGGCACAGCCCTGCGAAGGAGTCACACAGCAGAACCCTGTCTGCACCCAGGCACTTCTAATTTATTGTCACAGCAAGTTGGCCAAGTGCAGAAAGGTGCTCAGGGCACTGTCACTGTCCCTTTGGCCAGGCAGCAAGCCAGAGGGAACCTCTAACAGCACATTTTGGCAATGAACCCTGCAGTCCAGGGCTCAGCCTGTGATCCTGACTGGATGGGGACAGGAGGCAGCCTCAGTACCAGCTTCAGGATATGTCCACCCATACCCACAGCAATTCCAGAAAAAAGGCTTTCTCTTCTCAAGGAAAGAGCCACTGTCATCTCTTTGGCAAACCAGCCTCAGGGCCCTCATCAGCAAAATCCAATTTTGCACAGAAATTACATGGGTGAACCGCTAAATCTCAAAGACATCTTCAGACACTAAGTATAACAAAAAGTATCAGTAAATTTGGAGTCAAAGTCTGTCTTGCCATTACAATGAGGTTAACACAGGTTCCCTTCCCAATACCATCATTTTTTCCCAGAAAACAGCAGTAGAACTGAAGATCCTTCCATCTCCTCATGCTCAGCTGCTCCTGGGATCTCCAAAACTTCTTATATCAGCCAAGACCATAAAGAAGAACAAAAGACACAACTGCTTTCCTCTGAGTACCTCAAGGACATAAAGTAACCTGTCCTCAGCTGAGTCAATTCTAATGATTTTAGGGTGATTTCAGCCTGCTTTCAGAAAGTGGTTAGAACAAATCATTCCATGCTATTTTACCAACCATACTCCTCTCTCTGTTCTCCTAAAGTGCTCTGGAAAAGCATCAGGTGTGACCAATGAATGTTTCAGCTGTTTCTGCAGCAACACTCAGAGCAGGGTGGGAAGTGCCTGAAAAAATCCAGTGTGTCCTACAAGCCCTTATCAGAGGTCCCAAGCAAATTCTCAGGCCAGTTCTTTGTCTAGATCTCATTTTAACTTTGTGGCATTTCATATCAGACAAATCAGAAACCCAGACATCTCTCTCACACACAAAAAAAAAAAAAACATAGAAATGTCAAAACCCTTTGAAAATACTGGCTGGAACCAGAAAGCTAGCAGGAATTTGAAGAGCACTGCGTGCAGAGAAAAAATTGTCCTCAAAGAAGCAAAAAGAAAAACCAAGAGGAAAAATTACTTGCAGAAACAGAACTACCACTACATAAAAGAGAAAGAAAGATTGTCTGGCAGCACAGCAACCTCCTCTTCAGCCAGGCAGTCTCTGGAACAGCAATGACAGGAGCCCATCCAACACATTGATCAAGAGTTGGTTTGTGGGAAAAAAAACCAAATAAATTCCTGCAGTTAGAAGGAAAATTCCCCAGCGTAGTGCAAAACATCTGATGGAATGATTTATTGTTCCAATTAGCTATTTTTACTGTCACAGTGTCTCATCTGAGGTGCTCATCACTCACAGAGAGGCTGGGAGAGGCAGGCAGGAGCTTTCATCTCCGTCACATCAGAATTCCTGTGCTGCCCAGCTGCCTCCCTGGGATCTGGCATCCCACTCTGGTTTCAGAGACCCGCAGCAGGATGGTTGTGGTATGAGATATGGGCCAGGAGAATGCAGCTTCAATGACATTGTTGTGGCAGGCAGGAGTGATGGGCTGCAGGAGGACAGGCTGTGGAAGGTGGAGAACCAGCTGCAAGGTGTTCAAACCATCCTGTCCTGCCAGCAATGTGGAACATGCATGATTTATGTAAGTAAAAATTTCACAGAGCATCTTCATTTCAGAAAGGATTCAGCCTCTCCATGCTGTATTTTTTCATTTTGACCCTTGTTCTTTATTTAGTGGGTTCAGAAATGCATGAAAATCTGATCAGCACTGGTCACTAACAGTAACATAGAATTACACACTCTCCAGAATGACATTGTTCAGCACAATTTCTTACACAAAAAAAAATTTGCTTATACAAAATACACATTAAAAAAACCCTAAACGTGCTGCATTTGATGAGTTGGGTGGGGACCTCCACAAAGATCCAAGCACTGTATCAGAGGCAAAGTAGTGGCCTCTCTCACTTCTCAGCTGTTCCTAATTAAGATGAGGTTTTTACTCTCTCTAAAGTTCATGCAAAACATTACACACATAGACACAATCCAATCAAATCTTACTTTTCCTTTTGCTTGGGCATCTTTTAAGTATGGGAGCTTGCACAAAAATAATGCAAAGGTCCAATTACTAAAATTTTTAAACAGAATCCAATTAAGCCTCAACATTTTGAGGCTATATTCCTCCAATTTCCAATTTGCAGAAAAAGAAGTGTGAACAGTGAACAACACTGAGATTTCCACAACAGTAATTGTCTTAAAGCACTTCAGCCCAAAAGTACTGTAAAAAAGGTTTTGGGAGGAAGAAGAAGACATGAGATCTAATCACATAAATCAAATAATTTAAAAAATATTAAATATAAAAAGCCAGATTATGTACAACTTCTCCAATGCCATGTAGTCACTGTGGACCTGATCCTTAACCCAACCAGTGACCTCAGGTCTTCAGGCAAAACCACAAGCTTGACTTGCAGACTTGACTGTCTTAGTGCATGGCACATCCTCCAGACAGTGTATAAAGCACTTTGCTCTCACTGGCAAATAATAAATTAACCACAAACGCAAAATAAAAAAAGTAAAAAAGCAAATTCATTAAATTGTGCAGTTCAGATGTAAAAAACATCTCAGAGATGCTCCTGACCCAAGCAGGCTCTTCACATGACCAAGGGTTACACTCCAGGCAGGTCTCAGCTTGCCTTTGCAACTCCATGCCTGATTTAACAGAGTTCCTGATTTTAAAAAAGTCCTCAGTGCATGGATTTGATGAGAGGAACACAAAGAATTCCTAATGTGCTCCAAGATTAAGACAGTTACAGCATTTGTCAGCATCTGGGCAAAAGACTTCTCAACCACAGGAAGAGCAAAGCCCTCATTTTGTTCTCAGGAGGACAAATACAGTTCCAGGGAAAGTGCCAGAAATCTCCACTTTAGTCTCATCTGAGAATGGTGGGGGTGGTTTGGGTGCTGTTTTAAAGGAAGCACTTCCTTCCCCTGTGCTTTCTTCCAGCACTGCCTGCAGGACCCGTGCTGCCACCATGGGCAGCAAATCCTCCCTGAACACTTCTCTGTGGCCAAATGCAGTGAAAGCCAACAATGAACTGAGAATTTATGTGCAAAAGGGACATCTGGCTCCAGGGGCTGGGGACAGAAGGGCGATTCAGCCCAGGAGGGAGCACCCCACAGCTGCCTGGGAAGGCAGGGCCGCCCATCTCCTCTCCCAGCCCCCACCGTGCAGCCTGTCTCAAACCACAGCCCGGCCAAAGCATCACCCACGTTCTCAGAGGAGCAGAAATGTTCCAAAACATTTTTAAAAAGGCAACGCCTGCCTAAAAGTGACAAGATGGATCCACACTGTAAAATAACTCTCCCCCGCTCTGCATATGCTACTGATCAAAATTGCCAAGTTATCCCAATCCTGCTTCTAGAACAAAAGATGACTCTTTTCCACACGCAGCTCTTCACTGCATTGGAATTAAGCTCCACAGCCTGTTGCCTAAAGAAGCACTCTAAGGAATGCAGCTTCCTCAGCCTCAGCCTGAAGGTTTCTTGCCATCCAGAGAGCAATGGCCAACCCCAATGGGCCCTTTGTCCCATGGAATAAGCAGTGCTCAACGCTGAGCTCTGCAATAGAGCACGCACAGTTTGTAAGTTTTTATACACAACATCCAGCTATGAGCTGCCCAACATCTCTACACAACAGAAATCCTGCAAAATAGAAGAATATCTAACAACAGCCAAAGTGGAAGAGAAGTGGCTGCTACAGAAACCCAAAGTTCAGTCTGTATTTTTGGCTTGTTTGAAAACCAGGTGTTCCCAGCTATCACTCTGGGCTCAGAAATGTCACCAAACTTGGCAGCTACTCAGTGCGTGCATCAGATTTTGCTGGTAACACAAAAGATGAAGTAACACAGTCATTATGCAGCCAAAAAAAGGGGAAATAAATTACCATCCCCAAGAGATGTCACAGCTGCAGCTGACAGGTGAGGACTTCTGAAGAAACGTTCGAGGATGAATTTCTAAAGAAATATTTTTGCTTAAAATAGGCCTGAAGCTGGATTTGACATCTCTCCTCATTTCAAACAGTGTTGACTTGGGGAAATAAGCCAACTACCATCTTCCTTTGGAACTGACAAAACACTCACTCACCTCTCTGGGTATCCCACACACACAAACTCAACATCACTAATGTCCAGGGAAACTGCACAGAATAGAAACCTGAGACAAGTCTGCACCCAGAACCACACACAAAGCCCAGACTGAAGGAGCAAATACAAATATGGTTTCGATTCCAATTTTTTAAGTATTTAAAACTGTAATTTATCATCTTACAAAGTCTGCAGAATTAAACAGAATCTCACTATATCATACACGTACAGCAGCTGTCTGGACTGAACCAGCTTGAGGAGGTTATCACTGTGCTATACCAGCAACCACTGAGTCATTCCTTTGGTTTAAATCATATTACATCTGTGTTGGAGAAATCAGCTAAGCCAAAATGCTCTCAAAACAGCTGTAAAATGTTTCTTGCAGAAACTGCATGTTTTCTTCCAATGAATTCAGCATTTGTAAAGGGAATATTCTTTAGACAATTAAGCAAAGTAATTTCTACTTACTGTTCCATGGTAGTTCCTGTACATTGGCATTTTCAGGATATTTGTCAAGTAGTCCTCCAGCTGTTTCTACAATTAAAATGTTGAAACTTTAGATAGGATGTGGAGGTTTTTCTTGAAAATTCCTGTAATCCAACTGTCTGGCATTAGGAAGCAATCAAGAAATCAAACCCACTTTTCAGTTTGAGTGGATAAATAAATCCATTATAATGAGCTCACAGGATATCATGAACCATCATATTATGAACTCAACACCATAAACAGTTTGGCCATAAACAGGTTGTTTACTGTTCATAGTCCTGTGTTTGTACTTTCCACCTGCTCCGTGGCAGGGTCACTTTGGAGGTAAACTTTTGTGACTGAGCTAAAGTTTCAGAACAATTTTAAATACCAAATCAGTCCCCATTGTTTCTGACCCACAGGAATCAGCTTTGTGAGAAAACAGGCTCAGAGGCACTGAGAGAGCCTGTTTAACCAAAACAAAAGGTTCACAGGGTGAGTGACACAGGGACCACGCTGTCCTGTCCCAAGGACACAGAGGAGTGGCTGGGCCTGTCCTCCCAGCCAGGAAGGGAGAAGAGAAGAAACCATTCTGGTAGAAGTAATCTCTTCCCATCCTCGTGATAAAAGGGAAAAGAAAAAATTAGACTGTCTGGGCATGGGAAACTGGGCAGAGTCCTACAGGACACAAAGCAAACTGAAAGGAAACATGGGCTAAAAAAATAAAAAGCATCTATACAACATCTATACAAGAACAGTTTTCTTCCTCTTTTAAACCCACATCTCTCTCCTCAAATTTCCCACACATCAGAGAAGCTGTGAACAGCAGGGTTTCTGCATGGCACAGCCACAAGACACAATCCTTTAATCCTCTGGGCCTTGAAGTTCCAATGGCACAAAGCCCAGGGAGGGAAGAAGGGAGCAAACAGCAGAAAGAGAACCATAAGCAGAGTCTGAACAAACATGGAGTTTTTAGCTTGTGAGCAGCAAAGCTGCAATGAAGAGGTAGGAAGACATCCACCCTCTCCATGGAAGGGCCCATCTGTTAACATCTGATGAAGTTACACAGAACACGTGTGCCTGGGCTAAAATTACCCACTTCAGCATCAATAGCCTGGCTGCCATCTCCTCTTTCAGAGGGGGATGGCACTGAAATCTCTCCGATTTTGATGGCCACGGGGCTGCCTCCATCATGCAACTTGACTCTGAAAACTGCCTTGTCTATCTTTAAATCAGAGCAGGTGGGAGGAGGGGAACCACCACTCCCAGCATCACGGTGTTCCTCAGCTGCAGAGGAAAGCTCTGCCCACATGAGCCCCAGGAGCAGCATCCTCATCATTGCACGGCAGAGAATTTGGCACTAAAGCTGGACTCGTCACAGCCAAACTTTGTCAAGAAAAATACTGTCATGATACCAAACAAAGGTTTTGATGGTGTGTGGCTTTGCAAGCAACCTGCCAGGCTTCTCTGCACCTCAGAGCACCCCTCTGGCCCCCAGAGTGAGGTGGGCACTTACCCTCCTGCTGGAGAAGTGCTCCTCCCGCACCGTGCTCTCTGCGGTGTGCGGCAGACTCGGCATCTGCCTCGGCTCTCCCCTTTTGATGGATTGTCTTCTCACTGTGTGACTGCAAGGAAAAACACACCCCAACATCAAGTCTCAGTGCTGCAAGTGTCTGTATGCCTCAATAAATAACCCTTCTGCTGCGATGCCTTTGTTTTTTCTATCCGAGAAGCCAGCGTGCTCTGAGTGTCTTAAAACCAAAACACAACACAGAAGTATCAGTTTGATTTGTCAGGGCCAGCTTTTGGTCTCATAAGGAAAAGGAGTCTACATTCTGTTTTTAGGGCATTATGTTCCTCCAGCTCTTAACCTCTCATAATTTTACCTTTCCTATCATGTTCCCAAGATTTCTCCACCTCAGAAGGCTCTCACTCACCTACATCACTTCTCTTCACACTTCTTATCCTGTTCCTCTTATATTTCCAGCTATCCCAAGCACCAAGGCCACCCTGGCCAGGGACCCCCATGCCTCCCACATCCTGCCCACACTGTCAGAAAGCACAAAGCTCCAGCAATTTCCATTAGCATTATCATAACCCTTCCCCAAGTTCAAGGCAAATCCAGCTCAAAAACTGATGACCCAGGAGACAACGTTTCCTGCGTCAGCAGAGAGATATTTGCATCACTTAGATTATGCCTGCTGAACACATAGATTAAATATTTTTATTATAGCTGCTAAATATTCATGGAGACTGAATTCTTCTGCCCTCTCCTCCTTAGAGCAAAGTAAATGGGACCAGTGAAGTCAAATAGAAAAGATATTAAAAGTTAATAGATCACATCTCCCAAAGCCCACCGTGTCCACAGGGATGCACACTCACCTCCTGGTGGGGATAGGGATGCGCACGAAGGCTTTGTACCTCAGCAGCTCCCTGTGAAACTCCTGGAAGTGCTTGAACTTCCTCTTCACATGCCAGACAAACTCTCCATGGGTCAGCTCGATGGTATAAACATTGGGGCTTGGTACCTGCAGGGGAGAACATCACCACATGGCATGCAAGTTTTGAAATAAGCCATTTTCCTGCAGCTGCTCATCTAAAGAGCCTTTATTCAGCTTTACTTAAGGATTATTGTGTCTCACGATTTCTTGTTCTGCTTTATTAGGTTTTATAAATAGACAGATAACCTTCTCTACTAAGCATTTTCTGAGACACAGGCATTGCTGCTTCCTCAGCCCATGAACAAGCAAGCACAAAATTAAGGCACAAACAGCATTTTAAATACAGTTATACAGAAATCAAACAAAATCTCTGTAAGTTCTGACCTTCTTAGTGGAAGTAAAGCGTTCAACTTCCAGCACACGCACTCGGACAGGACATCCCGTGAGGTACGTCTGCGCACCCGGCTCTTTGAACCCATGGGTGTGGTAGATGGCAGAGAAGGGAATGCACACTGCAAGGACCACAAACCCCACAAATCTGTTAGCTCAACAGCCTTGTAACAGGGCATGAAAGGCAGCCAACAGCAATGCTTTAACATGGGAGCATTTATACAGCATTAATTCCAGCAAAAGAGAGCAATTTTTATTAAAGAGAGCTCAAAGACAAGGTTACACAGAAGGGACTTGATTTGAGAAGCTCAAGTATTAAGAGCCTCCAGGTTCTAAATCAGGGTCAATGCTGGGCTTGGTAAAAGCCTTGAGGCTGTAGCCTACCTGCCAAGAGATTGATAAAAGCCAGGCAGAACATGGTATGAGAACACAGGGGTGTCAACTCACCGGTGCCTTTGGGGTCAGTGAGCACCTCCGAGTCCACCTCCTCCCCCTCCACATGGAGCTCCCTGGTGTCCAGGCTCTCGATGATGTTGCTCATGTCTGCAGCGAGCTTCTTCAGCGTGGATGTGGCTGCATGGCTTTCTGCTCTCAGAGACATCTCAGGGGCCTGTGCTCGGGAGCCACGGGGCTCTGCGGAGAGAGAGCAGAGCTGTCACCGCCTTCTCTGCAACACAGGGCTGAAGGAAACCACTGGCAATGCATGGACACATCTTCCTTCCATCCCTTTACCCACATTCATCCCAACTATCCCACCCTACACACCCAATGGCAAATGTTCAGCTATAAAGCTACACACCATGTCACTGTCTGGCCAAATCCCAGATTTAATTCACCCGATGCAGCGTTTCCCAGGTCAGGCTACACGAAGGAAAAGCTCACTCAGAAAACCAGTAGGAGTTTTTGCTATATGTTCTTCCTTTGAGTGAAGCAGTGCTAAAAACTCCAGGCATTATTAAGATTTCCTCTATTTCTATGCTCCTTACACAACTGCCTGTGGTGTCTGCATGCCTCATGCTCTCCCACAGCTCCATCCTCTCAGCAGGCACCAAAGTTATCGCTCTAAAGGTTCCTCCCCAGGGTCAGGAGCATCCTGATCCCCACAGAAAGCCTGGGATCAACAAGCTGGACCCTATATCTTCTGTGCTCACCCCACCAACAGCCCAGGCAGCTGCAGGGGACCAGCCCACTTGTCCTTTAGTGATGGGGACACAGCCAGGGAAACAGCTGCAGCCCACTCAGGCAGTGGCACTCAGAGGTGTTTGGGCACTGGTGACTACAGCACTTCCCACCTTTATTCCCACCCATCTATTCCAGGAGCCTGAGTCACAAGAAAAATGGGGAAGGAAGAAGCAAAAATAATAAGGAAACAAAAGTAAATCAATACATGAGGCATGGCCACTGACACTAGCACAAGCCTTTTCTGCTCGTGAATATTTGCAAACCCTCTTCCTCCTCTAGGCTCTGCATCTCACCCTGGGGCTGTGGAGCTGGCTGCTGGTCCTTGCACACAACAGCCAGGCTCCAGCTCCTCCTGGGCATCACCCTGATGATGATAAAAAGTCCCTTCAATCTTTGTCCTGCTCTGTAATAAATGTCACAGCTACCCTGAAAAAATATGGATGGGACAAACTGGCAACATTTTACAGAAGCCAATACAAGGATGCCCATTTATCCTTGTGGAAGCTCTTACACTGTGTTAAAGAATGATTTTTCCAAAAAGTGTGACATTTCTGATGTTAAGTTCTGCAAAGAACACTGTGCAATTATTCTTGTGTGAGCTCCACAAGAGTTGGGTATGCCGTAACTTGGAAATAATTTAACATTTTAATAAATCATGTGTTTAGCTGCTTTTGAAAGAACATTCTTTATTATTGTTTCCTCTTGAAACAAGTCCATTATTTCATTACTACACAAGGCTGATACCATGTATGCCTAAAAACATGCTAGAAGCAGCTGCCTTCAGAAAAAAAAAATCCATTTGCACACAGACTTGAATCAAGAAAATCTGGGTCAATCTCTTCTCTCATACCAAAGTAAATGTAGAAGCAACAGTTTCATCTTGGGAGTGAGGGCTCCATGGGCCTGGGTAGCTCTGTCACCTTCCACCAGTAGCAGGGAAAGCCAGAGCACAGAAGACTTTAGGACCAGACCAGGGGTTTACTGGGCCCCCAGGCCACTTCAAGAGATCTGCATGAATAATTCAAATATAAACACACATGTGGGTACCTCCTCTCCCAGGGATACACTGAACTTTGGGGCAACATCCTGGTTTCAGCTGGGACAGAGTTAATTTTATTATTAGCTGGTACAGTGTTGTGTTTTGGATTTAGGACCAGAAGAATGTTGATAACACACTGATGTTTGAGTTGTTGCTAAATTCTGCTTCCCTTAATTCAAGGACTTCCCAGTTTCCAAGGCTCAAACAATGAGGAGGTGCACAAAAAGCCGTGGGGCAGCATGGCCAGGAAAGCTGACCCAGACTGGCCAAAGGGAAATTCCATTCCATTCCACAGGACACCATTCCCAGGATATCAGCTGGGGAAATTGGCTGGGGGGTGCCAACTGCTGTATTATGCATCACTTGTTTCCATCAGTGTTATTCCCCTTTCATTACAATGATTACTATATTTTATTTTGTTTCAATTATCAAACTGTTCTCACCCCACTGACGTTACCCTTCCCGGCCCGTGCACCCTCTGTGCAGCAGGAATTTGGCACTGGCACTGTCCCACACCTCCCCTGTCACCACTTCATGGAAAGCCAGCTCTCCCTCTTGGAAGCTTTACACTTTCCCTACTCTAACAGTGTACTGCAGGGGACTTCAATTATTCAGAGAGCAGAAGGTACATTTTCATTTGTTTGGAGTGAAGTCATTCCACCTGATATAGACTGGCTTTGGATGTTTGATTTTCTCCCTGGAAAGCAGGCATACATAAACATCATACATTCCCAAGGGAGGCCATGCTACCAGGCTTTCCCAAATAACCCTGGGGATGGCAGGAGGGAGCCCAGAGTCTCACTCTGCACTAATACCTACATTAAAATCCTATTTCCCACTCAGTACTTCATGCAAAGATTTTTTTTGTGTATTTCTAGCTGGAAATAAAGTAGGATCTTGCTTTGCATTTCTGTGTACATTCACATTTAGAAACAAAACAATTTTTTTCCTCCGTCAGAAGATGCTTTTACTTCATGGAAATTTAATGCCCTTTCCAAAAGAAGTTTTCCATGGTCAAAAAGGACACAAGCCCAAACACACTCTGGACGTGCCATGCCAGCAATTACACTTGAAGGAAACCAGCAGACAAATACCACATCAGCAGGGCTAGAGGAAGAGCAACAGCGAGGAGCCAACAGAGAGAGGAGATGCTCATCTCCCTTCTCCTCCTCCTCCTCCTCTCCTCCCCACTGTGCCAGGTACAGCTGGGTTCTTTGTCAGATTAATTGACACAGTTGGTTAATGGATAAACAATTAACCAGTGTATGCAGCGATTATTTCCAAGGGACCGCAGCAGGGCTCCATAACTCGGGATTTTTTATTATTTTTTTTTTTAAGCTAAAGCTGTTTTCACAGCTGGCACAGACAAATCCTGCAATAAAGCAGGGTCCAAACTCAGATGGACCTGAGTCAGTCCCAGCAGCAAGATTTGCCCCATAGAGATTAGAGCTGAATTTTGGGGTTGAGAAGGAAAACGTGACCTGCCCGTGGTCCTGTCAGCAGCCCCACGAGCCTGGGCAGGGTCCATCCTCCCTGTCACAGCTGGCTGCTGCAGAGCCACAGGACAAAGGGCAAACCCAACACTGGGCAGGGCAGATGGCACTGGGGTCAGCTGGAAAAGACTGGACATAGCACACCCCTCTGAAAGCTCTGCCAAATTGCTTTACAGGGCTCTGCTCCACAAGAGCTATTTTAACTCTTGGGCAGAGTTTCCATGTGGACACTCTGCATTCCCCTGGGCAAGCTGAGGTTAAAATGCCTGGGTTAATCTGCAACAGGCTGGGTGCAAAAACAGGCACCACATATGGATATCCAGGATTTTACCACAAACCAGGCAGGCTACACCAAGAAGGCCCTGTCTGTCCAGTGCCACTCACTGCTGACAGACTAGAGAAGGGAATTATAAACCTCTGACACCAAACTCAAGTGATACCAGCAAATTGCAGCAGACTGCAAATAACAGGATGAAACTTCTGAGAAATAAGTGCTGCATTTCAGCATTCAGCTCTTGCCATTCAAGATAGAAAATAAGCAGCATGTTTTTTAAAGGAAAATAAACCCAAAGAACCAAAAGAGAAAAACCAGGATCTGACTGAGTCAAGAACCGGCGATCCGAACAAACACAACATCTGTGCCAAGATGAACAAACAGGACTATTGCCTGTGAGCCAGGAAGGAAGAGATGATGCAGAACACAGGAAAACTCAGGCCTAAAGCATTTGACCTGTGAGAACAGTGTCAATACTGAGAGAAGACAGAGAACTGTGACAGCAGACTGCAACCCTGCAGAAGGTTGCTGTGAGCAGGGTGGATAAGGGAGAAGTGCTCTGAATTAGAATCACAGAATGGTTTAAATTGGAAAGGACCTTAAAGATCATCCAGTTCTAACCCCCAGCCCCAGGGACATCTTCCACTATCCCAGGTTCCTCCAAGCCCCTTCCAACCTAGCCTTGAACATTTCCAGGGATGGGGCATCCACAGCTTCTCTGGACAACCAATGACTCAGCAACCTCAAAGGCAGGAATTTGTTCCTAATATCTAACCTAAATCCACTCTCAGTGTAACTGCTGGTTTGAAGCAGAGATCAGGGAGAAAGCCCTAATGGCAAAGGCAGGGCACTGTCTGAGGAGGGATTTGCAGAGCCCCCAGGGTTTGGAGGAGGCAGGGGAACAGCTGCACCCCAGCACCCCCACCCCAAACCTGCTGCTGGGGCAGGCAGGAGCTGGAGTGGCAGCCTGTGTTTGAACAGAGGGAAGGTGCTGCTCCAGCTTCATCCGGCTCCAGCTCTGCCTGGGCAAAGGCAGCAGGAGGGAAAACAATGAAAAGACTCAGCAGTAAAGGAGAACCTTGGAAAGAATGAACAGACAAGGAAAAAAAAAGGAGATTATTAAAAACTGGAAGATTTTTACATACTACAAACCCTATAAACCTTACAAACCCTATAAAGACAGCTGGCACTGCCTTTTGTCCAGCTCAATTCTCATATTAATTACTTCCTCTTGAAGCACCATTTAAGTTCTCTGCCTTCTGTCCCAGACTGTCCCCACAGCACACAGGCCCCAAACCTCCTGAACTAATAGAATATATACACTGGAAATAGTGACTTCACCAAGAATCAGCCAAGATTTCAACTGCAGGAACAATGACTAAAAAAACAGAAATTAACTATATTAATCCCTAAGCCCTTGTGAATATATTGCAAACCTGTAGCTCCATCCTGCAACTTTGCAAGCCCAATATCTACTTGCTCTTTGCCATTTTGGTTATGCTTTAACCCCAAGTTATTACTTCAGGGATCATATGACCATCTCAGCCTTCACTAAAGAAAAGTTTTTTCTACTTGTTGCACAGGACAACAAAAGCACAACTTTAAAGGCATGG